GCTGAACAAGTTATGGTCTATGATTGTGATGGAATTCTATTGTGCTTACAAGAAATGATGAGCAGGATGCTTTCAGAAAAAACTTGGGAAGACTTAACGTGAATTGATGTAAAGTGAAGTGAGAAGAACCAGTAGAATAATATACACATTTTCACCAATATTGTAATGACAATCAGCTGTGAAAGGCTTAGTAATAATTGATCAATACAATGATCTGCCACAGATCTGCCAAAGAAAGGACTCATGATGAAAAATGCTATCTTATCTCCGGATAGAGAACAGATGAACTCAAAATGAAGATTGAAACATATTTTTATGATTTTGGGGGGCGGGGAGGGAATGGCTAATGTGGAAATATGTTTTGCATTACTTCATAAGTATGATAAAGTATTATGTTTGGCATTCTCAGTGGATAAGGGAGGAGCTGAAGAGAGGGAGAGAATTCAGAACTAGAACTCAAAATAAAAACAAAGTAGACATTATTTTGCATTTTGGTGAAGAACTTCATTGAATTTTGTTTTGGGAAATTACATTTCATTATTTTAATTGCATTTTCTCTGTTTCTTTAGAAATACCTGATTATTTTTAATAATCATAAACCTTCTTGTTATATATGTTTCTATAGTACAGAGTTCCTGTGCAGACTTCTGATTCATTTCTGAAGCTTCCATGTCCTTTACTCGCTTCTCAATGCTCAGATAACAATCCTGTAGGTAAGTACTCATATGTTCTCTTTCCTATTAAGTCCTATTCTCATTCCCCTTTAAGGTTTGTCATTAGTTTAATGAATCCACTGCTTAAATTTAGAATACCCTTAATTAGGCATCTTAATTAGGATTGGGGACTTCTAAGTCTGAAAGCCTCTTAGAGGTGATCTAATCCAAAGTTCTCCCTAATACTGGGTGTCCCATCTCTAACAAACACCCCTGACAGGTTGTAGTCATCCAGCGTTTGCTTGAAGACTTCCAGGGGGCTCACTACTTGCCTGATGAGGTGGCTCATTTTGTTTTGGATACTTCTGGTTGCTCTAATATCTTTTCTCATGTTGGCCTGAAGTTGGCTTCCCTGTAACTTCTGCTATTTTGTCTTCATTCTGCTCTCTGGAGTAACAGAGCAACCATTCTGATATTCTAAGATGGTCACATTTCCTACCTACATCTTAAACTGGACATGTGGTTCTCCCTCATCCTTGGGGCTCAGTTGCCCACTTCACAGTGCCATGGGCAAGTGGGCTCCTCTCTGCTGGCTGTCTTCCCACAGGCAGCTCACCAGTGTACCCAGTGGACTCATTTCTTGAGTGAAGCTCCTCAGCCATGTGCTATGCCCAGGGAGAAAAATCAGCCTCTGCTGCAGACCATTCATAGCTTCTTTCACAACTTGCTTTGCCCTCTGTTTTCTTTTTCATAGTTGCAACGTGGCATTTCCTTCAGCATCTGCTTTTAGAAATTTCTTTGTTTTGCTTATCTTTTCTTGGTTATTCTGCTGTGATTGCCAGGGTTTCTGATGAACGAGGTCTTTCGATGTAACAGAAGAGTAACTCTGGAGCAGTGTGGCGAAGACAGAGCCCTCAGCATGGGTCAGTACATTCAGCCCAAGATTTTGGCCGTAAGTTCAGTTTGGAAATGCCCCTGCTTACTTAACTTCATGTTCTTCGTATTGGTCATCTTGACATAATGCTGCCTCCTCTCTGATTTCCAGACTCTTAACAGGCTAGTTCAGTAAATGAAAGAAGTGCAAAGCATCTATTGAGCCCTTACTGTGTGCCAAGCACTGTCCTAAAAAACCAGGATACAGACATGAAAGCAGGTCATTTCCCTCTCTTAGCCTTCTAGGGTGGCTGTGAGGATAAAATGAGGCAATATCCAGCTCTTCAAACCTTAAAATGCTGCATGAAAGCTAGCAGCTAATTTTCATTGTTCATTATTATTTTAATGGGGGAGATTACTCAGGCAGAGCTGTAGTCTAGGAATTCCTACAAATGGTGAGGGGAACAATAAAGCAGTTTATTTATTACATTGATCTGATTACAGTCTTCAGAGAAAGAGATGAGTTAAAGTCCATATCACCTTATTTATTATTACTCAGCTCTTGCATTTTAACTGGTTTCTGCTTTCCATCCTCTGAACACCTTGTATAGCTCCACAAGAGTAATCTTTCTGTCATGTTTCATGGTCAAAAATAGTGACTCCTCCAAACTCTAGCCCAGCATTTCTGCACTTCCATAATCAGGCCCTAAGCTACTATTCCAGCCTTTTTCTCACTGTTCTCCAACACCAGTCTCCTACTCTGGCCAGGCTTAGAACATGTTCCTTAGAACATGTTTTGCATCTTCCCACTTCCATGCCATCTTTTGCAGGGGAGCCCTTTCAATTCCCCTCTGCCTTTCTAAATCCTACCCCTCCTTCAAAGCCTGGCTCACACTCTGCCTACATTGTTTATCCAAACACTCCAGAACACTGATTTCTCTTTGTTCTGAACTCATAGCATCATAGAATCTTAAATTTAGAAGATTCCTGGTCATCTTGAGGTCACAGGATAAAGAGATTTAGAGCAGGAAGGGACCTTTGAAGTCATCTAGTTGAGTCCCCTACTCAATTTGCTTATTATCCTTTCCACTTAAAGTATACTTTTACCATATTCTGTCTTGTACTGGTGATTAAATTTTTCATGTGTTTATATCTTAAGGACTGTTAAGGGGTCCCTCAAACTTGTCTTTTTGAGTTGCCATTTTTTCTAGAAACACTGGCCTGAATATGTCAAGGACAACCCCCGCCTCCAGCTGACATCATTTGTTGTTTGCATCCCAAAATGGACTCCCTTTGTGTCCCTGGGAGTCAAGACAGGCGCCAGTCAGTCTGTGCTAGGCTGAGAAATGGCTCGTGCAGCTGGGACCCTGTAGATAAGGAGACCTTCCTCTTCTCTTCGTAGTCTAGTGGTTCTCAAGGGAAAAGAATCCAAGGGGCAACTAAGTGACATAGTGGATAGAGCTCTGGCCTTGGAGTCGGGAGGACCTGAGTTCAAATCTGACCTCAGACAGTTGACATTTATAGCTATGTGACCCTGGGCAAGTCACTTAACCCCACTGCCTAGCCAAAAAAGAAAAAGAAAAGAATGCAGCTTTTGCCAGTCAGTCACTTTGCTCCTCCCCTTTGGGAGGGGTTTTGTCCTTTTCCCACTTTTACTGTACCTTTCCCCCTCCCATGCCATGCCCCTTTGGGTGAAGCTTACTAAATATGCAGACTTCTGTGTGGATGGTGAACTCTTTGGGTTTCTACATGCACGTTCATTTCTCTTCTAATGAACCTGGTTTTCATGTAGGTTTCCTGAAGTTGTGATTGCCTGTTGACATTTCTTATTTACTCACCTTATTCATAAGGGTCTGGAGGGGCAGCAGCCATGTTCTACATAGCTTTTCCCTTTCCCCCAGTCTCTAGTACCTTGCACATAGGAGGTGCTCAGAAAAGACTTGTTAATTGATTGAGAAGAAGTTTAAGTATTCCTCAAAGCTAGCAATGTCCAGTGGGTTGGCCGATGCCCTGCTCTGTTTAAGAATACATTTGCAAACAAAATGGGAAACTAGTTTATTATGAATGTGATAAGAATGTTGACAATATGTTCACATTACAGGAAATGCAGTTATTTTTCTTTTTTCAGAATCTTCAAGAAAATAAACAACTTAGGTATAAGAACAGGTGTTAAAAAGGCAAGAAAAAAAAGAAAAGAAAAAAAGGCAAGAAAAATAATGATTTTCTATGACATACAGATATAACTCTTTCCGTTTCCTTTTTGTCTAGGAACCTAATTCAAGTAAAGAGGTAAGAATCCATGTCTTAGTGGAGAAAAGGCTACTTATGGTAAAACAAAACAACAGCAAAACTTGCTTTTATTATCTTTTAAATAAATATGTTTATGATTAGAAATAGTGCCTTGTTACTAATAGAAAGGATTCAGCTAAAAAGCAATGTAGGTGCAAATAAAGAGTTCCTAGTATACCTTTCCTGTCTTTTCATACCATTTAAACTATTTAAACTGATTTGGTTTTGAAGTTTTACAGTTTCCTCTGTGTTGAAGTTGCAGATAACTTCACTGACAAATGAATGGAATTAGATCCTATATTTTCTGGTTACCTTAGGGGACTTAAATGGTCTCTTGTCAAAGTGATGATTAGCAACCAGAATGCAGTGTGCCCATCGAGGATTTATAAATTGAATTCAGTGAACTACCACATTTTAGGAGGCTATTTAATATTAATCTAACATTTGGTGATTTGTGGGTGAGTGGTAGTCAAGTAAAGGATCTGCCAGGGTTGTACCCTCCCTGCTGTGTCCCTCACTGGTTGTGGAACCTGTCAGAACTAGAAGGGAGGAAAAACGAGTCACCTGTTCCTTCCCTTTCCATTGTGCCTAGTCACCAAGGAAGGGTTATGGTCTTGGGGTACTGTTTGCCAAATACCTATTGGTTTTCATGAGTAATCAAGTTTCTATTCATGCTATTTGTATTTATTAGATCTTAGGATATAAATGTATAAAAAATATATAGACATAGAAATAAGCTAATCTCTTTACTTGAAATAGAAATAGCCTAAAAGCTTAGCTAAGCAGAGCTTTTAGGTGAACCATTTGGAGTTCTACTTATATGATACATGAATGAGAAGTACAGTCACTGGGACTTTGTTCAAAAAAACAACTGCTAGAGATGTTTGAGAGGCAGGACAGCTTATTCAGGGCTTCATCCTATCTTTATCTATTGCTGTGTCTAGAAATCATTAGTAGTCATGGGGACGGAACATCTTGGAGGGCCTGTACCTTTGAGTCATTACAAAAAAAAATCCATATTTGTTAAATTGTTAGTGTTAATTCTATTTTGATGGATTCTAACTTTCGGAATAATGGTCTTTTGGGCCTGGTTCCAGCATATGGAGCTATTCCCTTAGACTCACTGTTCAAGAATCCATAACAACCAGCTTTCCAACTGTTCTGCTGCAACATTGTTCTTACATTCCCCCCAAAGATAATGAAATAGCTTAATCAAGTTCATCTCCTCCATACTAGGCACAGTGTTTTCTCATGAAGATATTTGAATTTAAGGTGCTCTGTTCTTAGCATTTCTGTCAGTCCCTGGCACCCTCTTCCTAAAAAGACTTCTAAAAAGGGATGTCCAGTTTGAGGTTAAAGCTTTCATTCACTGTCACCCAGTACATTTAGGGTCACTAACCTAAACAGGAAGATTTTTATATTCAATGATGAATTGGTAATTAATTTATGAAATTATGAAATAGGGGTGGGCACACCCAGTTCTTTAGGTACTTACCAGGAAAGACTACATTCTGTGGTGGGAAATGGGGCAGCAGTCACACTTTAATTAACCACAGAGGATATGGAGGGGTAAAAAACCCAGAAAGGCAGAGACAAGTGGCAAAAAGTGGTAGAGAGACAGACGGTGGCATGGGGACAGCAAATGGGATAAGGAAGAGGATGTGGAGGAGGAGAAGCAGAGAATGTCACTCAGGTAAGCATGGATGAGAGTTGGGAGCACTCTGTAGCATGGACCGATGGAGATACAAGAGGCCTTGAGGGGCAGGAGTTTGAGGTCTCATTTTATAGGATTTTTGGGGGAAACCAGACCAATTCCTCTTAATTGGGCGACCTTGCAGTTAGTTCACTAACATATCTAAATCAGCTCAAAGTTATCGGTAAAATTTCAAATTCATTATCCTAAATTTATCAGCATCTTTTTGATGTTCCGCTGGTCTGGAGCTGTGGAGGTCTGGATTTTTGTCTGGAATTTACACATCATAGAACCAGAACCTTGACAAGCAGCATCTCTATGGTTTCTACTGATTGGGCACATATTAACAGGATGTGAATTTTAGTTAATGTATGATACAATTTGGAGATTATGCTCCTTTGATCTTTGGGATGGTTTGTACATGTCTTCCAGGTTTCTCTTTGTGATCTTATTTCCTGCTATTGCTATTTTATACTGGCTACCTATAAAACTTGCTTACTATAATGGCTAGAAGAGGGGAGGGTGGTCAGGGGTCTCGAACAAGATACAATTTTAACACAAGTGAGAAGAGCCTGGCTTGACTTTATGATGACCTGAACAAGGAATCCGTACATGATATTACAAGAGTCTCCATCTGTCCTCCAGATCTAGGCACTAGCTAACAGGCACTCCTTTGGGTGTTCTTAGACATGTAAGAGGCACTTATTTTATGCAGATAGAAAACTTTATTAGTTTTGCCCTTTGGTTACTTATGCTATTGAGCCAAAGAGTCTTTAACATTGAACTATAGATGTCATAGGAGATAGAATATATGTTAAAGTCAAACTAACAGGTATTGCAAAGGTTTATAGCTATAGAACTTAGTTGTAGAAGCATGTTTTTGTGAAGTGTGTTGAACAATACATTTATAACACTTTGCAGATTCCTATCACTGTCCGGGCTGTATTTCTGAAATCTCTAAATAAAACAGTGACTCAAAATACCCAGAGTGATGTTCTTTTGCATCCCACTTTTGTCCACATCAATGGTCTGAAAGCCTGCACTAATGTTGTTCTTAAGGTAGGTGCCTGATTTCATTTTTTGGTGAAACTTTATTTATTTAAGGCAGAATCAAGCTGCATGCCTTGGGACAGTCATCGGAAACTCCTCCCCAAGTGTTGTTTTTGCAGTAGACCACATTGTTTCCCGTTTTTGTTCTTCCTCCTGTTGGCATCTAGGAGTCAACTAGCTTATGAAGATAGATTAGTTAATTATGCTTTATCCTGAAGCTACCAAGGAATAAAGGGTGACAGTGACAGTTTGTGCCCAAAGATTGAATTTATCAACTGTTAAAAGGAAACAGGGGTGTGTCCTTTGTGTAACGGCATGGAATGGACACTGGCTGTTGGGTTTGACCTGGGTTTTGTTGCCCCTCTGTGTTGACTCTATTTACATTGTAGTTGTCATTTTTATGTTGTTCTTTGGGTTCTGCTTTCTTCACATGAGGTTGTTTTGCACAGGTCTTCCCTTGTGTTTCTGAATTCTTCATTTTATCATTTCATTACATTTACATGCTATAACTTGTACAACCTTTCCCCAAACATCGGTCACATTTTGTTTCCAGCTTTTAAAATGTTAGACTTGAATGGTAAACATTCAGAGTGTGAATGATGAGATTAGTTATATTCTGCAAATGCCAGTGGGTGCACAAAGTATCCATTTGGGTACCCTCTGGCTCAAGCGCTCATCTTTGTTTATGGTGTAAGGGGCATGCCTCAGACTGTGGTGGGTTTCATGATCTAGATGAGGTTGTAGTGGAGAAATAAATTTCCAAGAAGTGTAGGAACAGAGAAGGATTTGTTCTTTCTGTTTTCTCTAGTATTTTTCAATATGCTAAATGTAGCTGCTAAAATGAGAGACTTAGTTAACTTCCCCAAGGTCACAATAGCTAGCTATGTGGTTATTTTCCCTCTTGGGCCTCACTTTCCCCATCTGTGAAATAAGAAGAGGATTAGATTACATGACCTCCAAGGTCCATCCAGCTCCATGGTTCTGTGAGTATATGCTTTGATTCTAAATGGAAAGTCATGAAAGGGGCCATAAGTTGTGTCTGGTTTTATTTTCAGTTAAAGTACAGCATCACATACACAGAGGCAGGTGAAATCACAAAGGCTGATATCCATTTCCTTCTTGGGACAGTCAGCAGCTCAATGCTTCCACTCCAACAGCAATTTCAGGTTCAATTTCTTCAGGTAATTTTTGTCATTTTAACACAGATGCTTGCCAAGTGATTAAAATCATCATATTTTAAGACTTAAAACCTCAGGTTGTAAGTGCCAACCATAACATGGTTTGTGCCGAACACTGGAGTCATTTGTACTAGAGCTTTATGATGGAATTGTGTTAATTTCTTTTTCTTTTTCTCTTAGGAGCAACACACTGTATAAGCTTGTAATTTAACAGCAAGATGTGTGCCTGCATTAAGTAGTTATATTTGTAGTTGTATGTGGGGGAGGATGTCTTATTGTTTGATATTCTAGACTTTATTAAAGCTCTCAATTTTTTCTGCCTTTTTCTGAATAAAAATAAGAATTTTTCTTTGTTATATTTTGTCTTTCAGCAAAATATTAAGTCATTCCCTCTCAGTGGAAATCCAGGTTATATTCCAGGACTACCATTAATAGCTGGATTTGAGATAGAATATCCTTTTTGGTTGTCTGTTAGGTTTGCCAATATTTGGAGATCATGTTGTCTTGTCTCTGTATATTTTTAAGTCCTTTAGATTATTTAGGGAAATGGGAGCATTTGTTCCCAACTAGGACTTACTGAGACCAGTTCTGCCCCACTTACTGCTGTAGCTGCATATTAAGGGGAAACTTTTGGAGATTGGGGTAAAGTAATATGTGTGTAGAAAATGTTTTAGTAAACGGAAAATTATGACACAAGGTAGAAATGTCTGTGGACGCCAGAGCCTAGGATGACTTTGTATTTGGTTGTGGAACCTGTAGTAAGTGGAAGGAATGTGGGACAAGAGTCAGGCAAACACATGACTCTGCATCTGGCACATCGGGTACACGCTTTCACTGACAAGTGTGCATGGTCTCTGGGCACCGGCTTGTTCTCTTCCCCCAGTACTTGCTGGCTTTCCTGAGTTTCTGGAAGTGCTATTTATTTAATTAAATCTTGAGATTTTGTTCTTGTTCATGCGTTCAGTCATGTCCAGCTCTTTGTTTCTGTCTCTTTGTATCCATATGGGATTTTCTTGGCAAGGATACTGGAGCGGGTTGCCATTTCCTTCTTCAGTGGATTAAGACAAGCAGAGGTTAAGTTACTTGCGCAGGATTACATAGCTAAAGTGTCTGAGGGTGGATTTGAACTCAGGTCTTCCCGACTCCAGGCCCAGTGCTCTATCCACTGAACCATCTAGCTGCCCCAAATCTGGAGATACTAATGTGCATAAGAGATTTATGAACCAATTTAGTGATGATGGAAATCTGCAGCTAACACTGAGTGAAGCCAGTTTCTATCTTATCTCTTCCTCAGCTGATGCTAGTCAATGAAAATAGTCATAATAATGCCTTGAAGAAAGTATTGAAAAAGTCATATGTATCTGCGGAACTTGAGGCACAGGAAAGTGGTATCTTTGTCTTGCCAGAGGCTTCCTGAAAGGCACTATTAAAGGCAGTGAGGACTGGGCCTTAAATATACAAAACATATATAAAATATTTTATGCCCATTATGCCCACGAAGTGCAAGAATGGCAGCCTGGTGGTCTAGAAATCATATCAGATTTAGATACAGGAGACCTGGGTTCAAGTCTGAGCTCTGCTGCTTATTAGCTTTATTTTTATTGCTACCTTTTGGTTTTGTATCACTTACATTTATTTCTTAATATATATACCTCCCTTTTCCTACCCCTTCCTTAGCATAGTTCCAAATTGCTTTCCAGAATGGTTCAACCAATTCACAGCTTGGCTAATAGTCCATTAGTGTGTTCAAAGGGCATATCTCTGTATCTCTATAAACCTCAGTTTCCTCTTCTGTTAAATGTGGATAAGAATTCTCCCATTGTTTAACAAATAGGGTTTTGTGACCCATGAAGAAGCTTTATAAACTGCATAACACTCTACAGATATGAACTATTGGTGTTATATCTTTAGCATTGGTTGTATTTTCTCTTAACCCTGTGAACATCTCAGGTTGTTCAGAGTACTAACAGATATGGACAATTTACCATTTTTCACAGCCCAGCTGAGCAGAACTGCTTATTAGCAGAAGGACTTCGAAAACCAGTAGTTTTTGGTTATAATATGGTGACTGGATGCAAAATAAGGTAAGGGATTAATCTTTTACCATTTTACAATTACGTTTCTGATGATTAGATAATAAAATATTATTACCTTTTTCTGGATACATGAAAAGAACCCTAAAACAAACAGAAAACCCCTTTAACTCTGAACAAGCTCAGTTGGTATGAAATCCATAATGTGGATTCTGGTTTCATCATTACTCAGTCTATCTAGCAGACACCCTGCCCCTCGAGATGGTTCTCCACATCCTATCCACAAGGAAACCTGAGCCTGCCCCAGGGCAGGAGTGAAAACTCACAATCCATTCTCTGTCTCTGACCCCCAACTACACATCTTGACATCTGACCTCCTAACACATTGTCCCTCACCTGTCCTTCCCATCTCCTGGGCTTTCTCTAGACAGAGCTTAAACTTTTTCCACTCGCAATCCCTTCGGCGCTTCTTAAACTGTGAATCGAGACAACAGCAGGAAACAGTAAGTAAATCAATACCACCATGGCTACTGGGAAGTGTGACAGTCACTCACATTGATTAAGCACCCACTGTATGCCAGGCCTTGTGTTTGCCACTGGGGATTGACAGAGACAAGGACGAAACCCTCAAGCAGCTTACATTATATTGGAGAAGACAACAGGCACAAGTCTAAGTGTATACAAAATATACGTAAAATGAACACAGCATAATTTGGGGTGGGGGAGGCACTATTAGAGCTGTGGGGAAGCAAAGGCCTCAGGCAGAAGGAAGTGCTTTGGCAGAGCTTTAAAGGAAAAAGGAAGTAGAGGTGGAAAAGATGGGCTTCTGGGCACGGGGGACAGCTGGTGCAAAGGTATTTCTGTGGGAGAGAGGGCATGCTATGTAATAAATGGCTCAGTGAATGTAGTCTTGTGATTGGGAATAGTAAAGATTAAATTTCAAAAGTAGGTTGTGATTCCAATTGTGAAAGGCTTTAAATGCCTAGCAGAGGAGTGTGTGTTTGCTCTTGGAGGTAATAGGTAGGTACTCCTGTTTGCTGAATAGAAGATCTGTGATTTTTGAAAATCAGCTTTACTGCTGTGGGGAAGATGGATTGGAGTGGGAAGAGATTTGAGGCAAGTCTACCAGTTAGTAGGTAATTATAATAGTCCAGGTGAGAAGAGATGAAGGTGGGAATGAGGATGGAGTTCTGTGAGTAGAAACTTGGGGATGGTTACAAGAAATTGGAGGCAGAAAGGAGTTGACCTGGAATGTTGGGTGTGTAGAATGAGAGAGAAGGATGATTATTCTAAGCTTGTAAACCTGGGGACTGGAAGATTGGCGGTCCCTTTAATAGAACTAGGGAACTAGGAAAATTCAGAAGAGGCATGGGTTTGGGGAGAAAGAGAATGAATTCTGTTGTGGATGTGTTGAGTTTGAGATGCCAGTTCCCAGTGTCCAATAGGCAGTTGGTGATATGGGACTGGAGTTTTGGGGAGAGGCTAGGGATGGATCTAAATGTTTTCTGTAAAGATGACCATTAAAGTCAAGGGAGCTAAGGAAATTCACTGAGTGTAGAGAGAGAAGGAGAGACAGCCTTGTCTTTGGGTCCACACTGTTAGGAGGCTCAGTATGGATGTTTATCCAGGTAGGAAAACCAAGAGAGAACAGCAGCTTGAAAATCAGAGAAGAGAAGAGAGTGTCCAGGTGCCGAACTGATTAGTAGTGCTTCATGCTCCAGAGAGGTCTGGAAGTATGAAGATTGAGGAAATGCCTTTAGATATGGGCATTAAAAAGGTCCTCCATAACTTTGGAGAAAGCAGTACAGTTAAGCTATGAGGCTGGAAGCCAGGCTGCAAAGGATCAAGGAGTGGTTGAGAGGAGAGGAAGTGAAGTCGGTGAGAGGAGACAGCTTTTTCTAGAAGTGTGATTGTGAGAGGGAGGAGAGGTTTAGGATACCTTGAGGAGAGATGGTGCATAGGTTTTTAAGAGAGACTTGGTGAAGTTTGTAGGCAACAAGGAAGGAAATGATGGCTCTGCTCAGAATCCTGTTAGTAGGAGTCAAAGTGGCACTGATGCAGGGTTGTGGTTTGGCCAGGCCTAAGCAGAGATAGGACCAGGGGGCAAGGCATTCAAGAGTAGAGGGCAGTAGAGAAATGAACTGGTTAATTCCAGTGTTGGGATTGGGAAGCTGGAGCAGGCTTGGCCCCTTGGCCCCCACACCTGCAGTGTTCTTCCTCATCTCTGCTTCTGAGCAGACTCTCCACTCCCTCTCCCCCTTGGCTTGTGCCTGTAGTAGTAGTCCCTTCTGCTTTTTGTTTCATCCATGTACAGAGTTGTTTGCATGTTGTCTTCTCCATTGAAATGTGACCTCCTTGAGGGTAGGGACTGGGTTTTTGCCTTTCTTTGTGTACTCAGTGCACATTGTAAGAATTTGTTTAATGTTTGTTGACTGACTGATACTCTAAAATCCCTGTGACCGCTCAGACCAAAACTCCCTTCCTTAGACACCACTTCCTATATGCATTGCCTCCTCCTGTTAGAATGTAATCTCCTTGAGGGTAGGGTCACTTTTGGCACATAGTAGGTGTTTAATAACTTGTTTTTCATCCATTCATCGGAATGAAGTGTCTTGGATGAATTGATAAAATACTAGAGAAAGATACTGCAACGATTTGTAATTCACTTCAGTAAGAATGAGAAAATATTCATTTCCTGCATTTGGGGAAACAAGTGAATTCACAGCAAATCTTTCCCCTGCTCCCAATTTTTTTCTGTTGTTGTTGGTTTTTTTTTTTCTGAATTTCAAACTGTACAATACCCCAGAGAGAACAGCCCTGGCTCTGGCTGCCCGGACACCACTCTGTAATCAGATCTCTGGGATTTGGGGTCTACCTCGAGAAGCACAGTCAGCCGCTCCCATCTGCTGGATCTCCTTTGTAGGGGAAGAGAAGCAGGAGATCAGGAGACGTCAACATGTCTTTGTTAAGAACTGTCAGCTCGTTAATGTTTTGTTTTGTTTTTTTCTTTCTGAAAGATTGACTAAAACTACCAATTGCCAACTAGTTGGGAGAAGACTGAAAAAATTACTGATGGGGGAAAGCTTCCCAGACTATATATCTTCCTTTGGAAATTCAGCAGCCCAGAATTTGCAGGACTGGGTGCCTGTCCATTTTTCCATTTTTGCAGCAAAAGGACAGGTAGAGATAATTCCTAATTGTTGGAGGGTGGTTTTGATTTTTGTTAAGATGTCTTGTGTGGCAGGTGGTGACTTCCTGCCTCACTCACCTGTATAGAAAAGACTTTGGATGGAGCTCTGAAGAAACAGAAACACTGATATATTTGAACAGTTGTCCTACTATTACTCTCCCTCCCTTGAAATTCATGACAGAATGGAGAGGGTTTTAGGGGAGATAGTGTGGTATTCTGAAAGGCACAGTGACCTGGGAATCAGGAAACCTGTTCTGGTTTCTGCCTCTATGACCCTGGGCAAGATCTTCTCCTCCCTGGACCTCATTTTCCTTTTCTGGCAACTGAAGAGGTTGGACTAAACTTCTGAGGCTAATTTCTTCTGTCTCTGGCAGTCTATGATTTTTATAACCTCTAGACTGTTTCAAAGGGATCCAGAGGTCTCTATGGTCAGCATCATGACCTTCCTGCAGTCACAGGATGTAGAATTAGACTGAGCCCAACCCCTTCTCATTTTGCAGATGAGGAAGCTCCAGGTCATACACAAAACAAGTGGCTTTTCTTGTTCACCCCTAGCTCTTTGCCCAGTCTGGGACAGAGTAAGCCCTTACTACATTGTCTCTTGGCTGGCTGACTGATCCTTGGAGTCCTCTGATTCTAAAATCTAGTGTTCTACCCACTATGCCATGCTGTCAGCAACCAATCATATCAGCATCTTTAGGCTATAGATGCAACCCACACTGGGCACTTTTTATCCAAAATCCCCAATGAGTTTCATGGGATTGATAACTGTCTAGCCCCCCTGACTCCCTGTGATGCTTTCCCTGCCCATCCTTCTCCTTGTCTAAGCTGTAAGGAATGTGTGTGGGCCTCTGTCACCTGAGGCAAGTTCATCTCTGCCTAAGAGGCCGATCTTGCTGGTCTCTCGTGCAGTTGTCTCATACAATTCAGTCTATTTACAGCAGAGGGAGAACGTTGCCAGAAGAGCATTTGCTGGCTCAGACTGGAGCTCTCAGCATCCCCCTTGGAGATGGTGTTTGCTCAGGCCACTCTTCTGAGAAACAAGCAGTTTAGTCCTGAATCAGCGTGGCTACTTTGGTCAGTTGGGCAAATAAAAAACGAGGAGGGAAGTGCCCATAGTTCTTGCCCCCATGTCCAGCTGCCCCTTTGCAAGCTTCTGATGATCTGGCAGGTTCAAGGCTTTGCAGCTTTTCTTCCAAGAAGTATGGACCAGAGAACCTGAATCAGGGTGGATGTGTGGACTTTCCCTCCCATTGCTGCAGTAGGCCTTCTTGCTAGCTTGTGTGCTAATAAGCTTCTTAGGCACAAGTTCAACCCCAGGAGTGCCCCTGACCCTAGTGACCTCCAAGGCCCTGCTGTTGGGCACTGAAGGCAGGGGCCAGGGGCTGAAAGGCTTTCAGGTGCCGTAGCTGCTTTGCCAGCCCTTTTCTCTTTCCCTCTCTGAGAGAAGGGAGATCCTGACGATGACAGCTTCTTCCTGAATTCCCACAGAAAAGCTCTTACCATTTTTTCAAGGGAAACGTGTGCCTGCTTTGATCCAAAAATACTTTGGAAATATGTCCAAGGTGATACACACATCACTTATTCTGTGCAGGAGCCTGCCTTTCTGTTGATACTACTGGCGTGGTCTTCACCAGCTCCTTCTGACATTATTGTCCCTAGTACCAAGCCAGAGAGGATTTTTCCCATTTCTAAGCCAGAGCAGCTAAGCTGTAGAAAATCTAAGTGAGTTGCCCTAAATTGCGAAGGAGACTAGTTATTGGTTGAGACACCAAGGTCATCCATTGCATCCCCAGCCATCATTAATTGTCTTGACGCTGGCCTGCCACTGGACTGTAATGACTCTGGAAGAGAGAGTGAGGCTGACCACTTTGTGCAACTCTATCTCACTTAAATTCAATTAATGAATGAATCAAAAGATAAAATAAAAAAAAGTTTAGTATTAGAGTGTAAGGGTATCTAAAAATTAATACCCTAGCTGTTAAGATATTTTTAGCACAAGGAATACTTGAAAGCAGAAATAGTACTTGTTAGACCATTTTATCCAAGCTTTTAGGAAATTCTTATTCTTTTGCTCGGAACATTATTGAAAAGATGAAGTTGTTGTAAAAAAAAAGAAAAACTAAAGTTTGGATTTCGTTCAATATCAGAAATTGATTCCATGGAATAATGGAAGATTGTCGTTTTATTCTCCTAGGAGCCATGTTTGATCCCACTGGTCTATGATATAAGAGTGAAGTGGACTAAGTATGGTTCCTTAATGAATCCACAAGCCAAAATAGTCAATGTTGCAGTGCAAATGATTTCATCCGCATTTTCCAAGGTATGACTAATCTTTGTTTAAAGGTGGTTGCATGACACGTTTCAAAACACAAACATACATATTTGCCGAGATTGGAAAATGTTTCATGTGTATTTATTCCTCCTTGAGCATTCAAAAACAGTTTAGTTCATAATTTTTTTAACCTTTTTTTGGGGGGGGGGAACAGTATTCATTAGTAACAGATTTTATTCACAGTAAAACCTTTAAAAGACTTTAAAAGTAGGTTTTTGTTTTTAATTTTTTTTGAAAATTCATCTAGGAATGCAAATAGGCCTAATGTTTTAGTCATTGAAACTTTGAGAAAAAATACTACCTTTCATCCTGTGTCTCAAAATGCTTTATTGGCTCATTTTATCTATATTTACCCATCAGTGGTTTTATTTTAATAATTTTACTAAGGAAATAAAAATTATATTTCTCATCCAGATTCACATTGTGAGTCAATCAAGTTGGGGTTGGGGGGTAAGGGGTGGGAGTAGAGTCAAGAATAGAATGAAAAGTTTCCCGGTCTCTGCTAACCCTGGCAACTAACACACAGGCTATTCAGGACTTGTGTACCTCTTCCTTTTTCCTCACAGACTGAGTTAGAACATGGAAGGACAGCACAGGTTTCTACTGTGGTTAGTTTCATTGATGTGTCTGCACCAGCGGAAGCCGATTACAAGGCTCAGCCCACCATTGATGCCAAGCTGCCCTCCAATTTCTTCTTTCCATTTGTGTGACGTAAGTAGTTACTAAATTCAGGAAATCCTGGTGCTGCTGTCAAGGATTGTTAGCCCTGAGAATTGTGACTGTTGGGTTGATGATTCCCCATAACTCTGAGAGCCATGCCATTCCTCCATGCCTTTCTGCCTTTGACTTCTCCTAGAACATTCCTTACCTGAGATTTCTCTTGTTGCCTCTCCCTGGGCTTTTCTTGATTTTGGCAAAGGAGGAGGGCCAAGAAGCTCATGGGATTTCCAGTCCTTCAGGGGACCAGAGCTGTGCCTGCTCATCTGATGCAGTTCCTGTCTGTGTCTTCTCACAAATCCTACCAAGAGGAGCTGCCCAACACGGTGTAGGATAGAGAGCTGGAAGACAGAGAGTCAGGAAGACCCAGATTCAAATGCTGGTCTCTGACCCATCCTGGCTGCATGGCCATGGTCCTGTCACTTCACCTCTCAGGATCCCGAGACAGCAAGTGAGGGTTGATTGGCATCAATTGAGGCAGTTTCTTCATTTTGAGTTCCTACAGTGGTGAAATCAGGTTTGGCTAAAACCCTGCAAATATTCCTTGAACACCAATGCAGCATTCAGGGAGGGAGACTTAGCTCTGCCTTGCCCAGACTACATTTGAAGGCTTGTCTTCAGTTTGGGGTACTCACTTTTAGGAAGGATGTTGACAAGCCAGTGCATGAATATCTCATTGAGGCTGGTCAAGACATTGCAGGCCAGGGTGGGGTGGAGTGAGCTGGAAACCATTTTTTTGCTGTTGTTCAGTCATTTCAGTCGTGTCTGACTGTACGTGGCCCCATCTGGGGTTTTCTTGGCAGAGATACGGAAGTGTTTGCCTATTTCCTTCTCTAGCTCATTTTACAGATGAGGAAATAGAGGCAAAGAGGGTGAAGTGACTTGCTCAGAGTATCTGAGGCCAGATTTAAACTGATGAAAATGAATATTTCTGCCTCCAATCCCAGTGCTCTATCCACTATGCCTGAAAACCATGCCATACAATAATTGGTTGAAGGAAGCAGAGACATTTAGGCTGGAGAAAAGAAGACTTAGAGAGGTTGGAGGGGGAGGCACAGATAGCATAGCTGTCTTTAAATATCTGAGGGAATAGGGGCAGCTAGGTGGCGCAGTGGATAGAGCACCAGCCCTGAAGTCAGGAGGACCTGAGTTCAAATCTGGCCTCAGACCAAATACTTGACACTTACAGAAGAGGGGTGTAAATATATACATATACATATATATACACACACACACACACACATACATATATATACATACATATATACATATACATCTCTCTCTCTCTCTCTCTCTCTCTCTCTCTCTCTCTCTGACGGATTGTTTTGTAGATGAGGGATGCAATTTATTCTGGCTCCAGAGAGCAAAGCTAGGAGTGATGGGTGGAAGGTGTAGAGGCAGTTTTGGCTCAGTATAAAGTTACTTTCCTAACAGTCAGGTGTCCACAAATGGAATGTCTCAGAATGTAGTTAGCTCCCCCCCTCAGTGGAGGGCTTTAAGCAAAGCCTGTATGACCAGCTGTCAAAGATGTTTCACAGCTAGGTGCTGGGCCAGGTGACCTCAGAGCTTCTATCTCCCTGGTTTTGCTTCAGAATGAGGCGATAGTCAGGTCAGGGTCCTGCCCAGCCCTGCAACATTTAGCCTTCATATTCAAACAAAGCAAAAGGGGAAGAAAATTGACTCAGGATTGTGGGAAGGAATATATTTAGGACAACCTCTTTGTAGGTTTGTCTTAAATAGAGGCAGCTGGTGGTACCTTGAATAACATGCTGGGCCTGGGCTCATGAGGACTTGAGTTCAGAAGTCTGGCCTAAAATACTTAATAGTTGTATGACCCTGGGCAAGTCATTTAACCTGTTTGGCTCAGTTTCTGCAGCAATAAAATAAAGATAATAATAGTACCTTCCTCCCAGGGTAATAAATGAGGTACTATTTTAAAATTGCTTAGCAGAATGCCATATAAATGCTACTTCTCTTTATTCTTTAAATCCAACCCCTTAATTCACCCTCTGCTTTAACATCAAAATTACTTTAGAAGCAATAGCTGTTCAATTCAGGCTGTCCTTCTTTTTCCTTCCATATGCAAACAAGTGCAAAAATAGTACAATATCATACAAAAATGTTAGAAGTATAACACAAAGGCTAAAGAAAGCTCCTTGCTCGAATATCCCATTAATTGCAGTCTATTCTTCGATCTAATTGCTATGTGCCATCCCAAGCCCAGCCCAGGAACACTCCTGGGATGCTACAGAATGGAGGTGGATTATTAGAGTTCATCACTATTGTGGCAAGAGAATCTAGGGGGAGGGCTCAGGCAAACCAGGCAGCTTCTCATGTACATTATTTGCGTGGTAGTTTCAAAAAATGTCTGACAGAGGCATAAATAATAAATACAATGAGATTCAGACTGCGTTTTGCAGCTGGTTGCTACAGAGGGTTCCTGAGCAACATCCATGGAAAGATCCAAACTTCAGGAGGTCAATGGCAAGTAACAGGACACATGGTCTTTCTGATTAGCTCATGAATAAAATGACCTTCCTGTAATCACCTGGACTGTAAGATAATTTTTTTTTATTACTTTTGTCTTTCAGAATGTCCACAACTAGGGAATCCGGTGCTGAAATATATGTGAAAATATTTTGAAAGCATACATTTGGCAAAATTAAATTTTATACAAACCCATACAGCTCTAGCATTCATTTTCAAACAAGTTTAGAGTTTGGAATATAAGAAAAGGGAGTTTATGAAGCATTTGTTACCAAGGCAACTCTCTTTACATCAAGATAAAAAGACAGCTCTTAGGAGGAACTATGTAACATCTGGACATAATCAGACCTGAGAACAAGTAAAATGAAGGCTTCAGATCATTTCCAGAGATAACCCTGGAGACACCCAGGGTGTTTCACAGACATGTACACAAGGCCAGTCCATCCAACAAGATGTTTCCTCTCCATGTGGTTAGGCAAATGTTGTGTGGTTCAGCTACTGGAGAAGTCCATGATCTCTCAGTAGTTTGGTAAGTCTTTCAATTTCTTGTTCCTGTTTCAAAGACAGAGATCGACTTTACATTGTGAACATCTCTGAGGCTCATAAGTCTAGTTACTGTTGAGACCATTAGTCATCTATCTTACATTTGTCTTACCTTCTCAGTGCAACTAAATTCAAGATGCTGGATTTTCGTGGCCAGTTGATGATTAATCATTTTCAGCCTTGAGAGTTGTCGTTCAGAACGTGTCTTGACTGAAATAATTATGCCTAAAAATAATTCAGAGGGCTAGATTGTGACTTTGGGCATTAACATAATGAGTCCATTATACTTGATTTCCGATTTGCAAAGTACTTTCCATACATCATCTTGTCAGCCCTGTGAGATAGGGCATTTAAAAAATGAACCACCAATTCTGAGAATTTAAGACACATGCCCTTTGTGAGCCAGGGCACAACTCATGGAGCTGAGACATAAACTCAGGGGATGTGATACTCCTGCAATCTCAACACAATTCCACCATCCACACAGACTCACAGATGTGTACTGTAGGCTAACACACAATGTATTTGTTTGGGAGTTTTATTTTCTCCGGTCATTAATCATTAATTAAAGGCATGGAAACTCAGAGAGTCTGGCTTGAACTTTTGAGTTGACCAGAGGAAACTTCTGCAAGAATATGTTTAGTGTCCAGTTTGAATTCATCCCCTGTTTCTTGTAGAGTATGAGAGGTTGTGAAATTATATCATTGATAGATCAGGCAAGCAAGGCCTAAAAGCACATGAACACAGTAGCCCAATGTTTCATCAACCCGAGAATATAAACCACTGGGGGAAAGGACTCCCTATTCCCAACAACTGCTAGTAAATCTGGAGAACTGGTTGGCAGAAAATAAATTTAATCAGATGGCTTACATTGTGTGCCTCAGTAAACTCCAAGTGAGTAAGAGACAAACATAAAAACAGAGATCATAACAAAAGTAGAGAACAGAACAGGGTAGGTAGATCTCACAATTCTGGTGATTGGGAAATTTCACGACCTAACCGGGTAGTAGAGCAGGTCACCAAAGACAAGGTAGACAATTTTGACTGCATACAATTTTAGAAGCTGTTATACAAATGATATCAGTGTAATTTTGGGTAAGACAGGATGCCAGTCAGTGGGGAAGATCTTTGCATTGAACATCTCTAATGAAAGGCTATATCCAAGATGTATAGGGAATCAATGCAAACATATGACTCAACATATTTCACAGGAGATGGTGATCAAAGTATATGACCAAGAAGTTTTCAAAAGAATATAAGTGAGCTAACAACGACCATGTGGAAAAAATGTGCCAAACCATTAATGAAAGAAATGTCAGTTGAAACAACTGAGGTGTCATCTCATGCATCAAACTGACAAAGAGGAGATAAGAGACTGAGATGGCTGTTGGAAGAGCTGTGGGAAGACAGGCACAAACAACATATTATTAGTGGCACTGAATTGGCCCCATTCTTCTGGAAAACAACTTAGAAGAATGCAAAGTTAGAAATTTCATGCTTGACCCAACTCCAGGACAGATATTTTAAGGAGGTCAGAAAGAAAGGTCACCCAACAACAACAAAAGCAGCTAGGTGGTGTAGTGGGAAATGTGCAGGACTTGGAGTCAGAAGAGACCTGAGGTCAAATCCTGCCTCATCCACTTCCTAGCTGTGTGACCTTGGGGCTAGCTACCAAATCTCAGCCTAAAAAAACAACAACAACAAAAACACTACATTCTTTGTTTCAAGTTGCAAAAAGGCAATGGGAGAAGCCATATACCTGTGCTGCCTGAGTATACTACAGGTTGGTGTTTAATTTCAGCTGGGGCCTCAGTACTGCATTGACCAATTCTACTTTTCACAATTGACCCCTGTTATATTCCCCATAGCAGCTGTTCCTCAAGCCCCTGATGCTGACTCTTTCCCTCAGCAGACCTTGTCTCATGCTTCACTGAAATACCTGAGGGCTGCCATGAGCTGCTTTTCTTCCCTGATTCCACGGTTTATGTCACCTCAACATCATTCCCTCATCCCTTCCTTTGCTCCAGTGTCAGAGGAGGTGATCCTTGCCATACCAGCGCCTCTCCTTGTGCCCCTGACTACATCCCCTCCTGTCACCAGGAACTTGATCCTATCATTTCCTCGCCCTAATTTTCAATCTCATAAGCAGGCTCCTTCCTGGCTGTCTATAAACATGCCCATATCTTCCTGTCCCTAAAAAATCTTCACATGACCCCACTGTCCCCTAAAACTGTCATCCTATATTTCTCCTTAATTTCATGGCCAAACTCTTAGAAAAATCTTTCAACACAAGACTTCTATTTTTTCACCTCCATTTCACACTGTTGTAGTTTGGCTTCTGCCCTCACCATTCACTAAAAACTACTCTCTCCAAGGTCATCAGTTATGAGTTATATGCTAAATCTAATGACCTTTTCTTGGTCTTAATCCTTCTCAAAGTCAGTGTCAAAGAATTTAAAATTTTTCGAAATTAAATTTAATTTTTTTCAGTGAAAAAAATCTGTTTTCTGTCCTTTCTACCTCCCCCTGCCCATTGGGGTAAAAAAAGAAAAGCAAAACCCTCATAACAAATAAGCATAATCAGCTGAAATAATGGCCAGTGTCCAAAAAATTTATCTCAATCTGCACCCTGAGTCCATCACCTCTGTGCAAGGGGATGGGCAGCAGGTTTCAACCTGGGTCCTCTGGAATTATGCAGATCGTCCAGTGACCAACTACATTTGGTTGGCCAAATAGATTTGGTCATTGCATTGATCAGAATTCTTAAGTCTTCCAAAGTTTTGTTTTTATAATTTTCATGTTACATAAATTGTTCCCCTGGTTCCTCCCACTTCAGTTTGTATCAGTTCATACAAGTCTTCCCAAGTTTCTTTGAAACCACCCCCTTCACCATTTCTTACAGAACAATATATTCCATTTCGTATACCATAATTCATCTATTTCTCAATTTATGGGGAGTCCCCTCTCCCCTTTCCCCCCTCCCCCAATTAGTTTCCAGTTCTTTGCCTGCATAGAAAAAAAAAGCTGTTATAAATAATTTTGTACATGTAGGACATTTTCATCTTTGATCTTTTTGGAGGTATACATTGTGTCAATGGTATGCACAGTTAAGTAACTGCTTTGTGGAATGGCTGAATCAGTTCACAGTTCCACTAATGATGCGTTAATGTATCTTTTCCCACATCTCCACCAGCTTTTGTCATTCTCTCTTTTTTTTTTTTGGTTAAATCTCCCAATCTAGTGAGTGTAAGATGGAACCTCAGTGATGCTTTAATTTTTCACTTCTACCTTTTAGTGATTTGGAGCATTCTTCCCTCCCCCCTCCATGGCAATTGATAGCTTGGATTTATTCCTTAGAAAATGCCTATTTATATACTTTGACCATTTTCTATATGGCTGAGGGCCAAAGAGTTTTTGACATTCTTGGCCACTCCTTCCTGCTGGAAAATCTTTTCCCACTTGGTTTTTGTGACAGGTCTGTCATTTTCATCCTACTTCGACTAATTCTCAGTTTCCTTTGCAGGGTCACCAACTATGTCTGATCCATGTCATAGGGGTATATTCAATCTTGGACTCTCCTCTTTTCTATAGTATCTCTTTAGGTGATCTCATTAGTTTCCATGGATTGGACTATTATCTCTATGAAGATGACTCCCAAATCTATATATTCAGCTCTCCTCTCAGCTCCATTTCCTCATCTCCTGATGGATGTCCATCTTATAGTAGAGAGAGTGTTGGGTTTGGAGTGAAGACTTGAGTTCAAATCTTGCCCTCATTGACCAAAAAAAGAGAAAAAAAAAGCTATGTAACCCCCGTGCTTAAGCACAGTGCCTGGCACCATGGTTAATAATTGCTTACTGACTTGACTTGTTAACTGGATAGGGTCATGGGGGCTATCTCCAGCTGTCCTGATCTATATCTGGTCACTGGACCCAGACAGCTCCGGAGGAGAAAGTGAGGTATGTGACTTTGCACAGCCCTCCCTCACTTAAATCTAATTCACTTGCAAGTCATGGCATCATCTCCCTAATGTCATGGTCCTATTTGAGGATGAAGGACAAACCACAACGTGTGAGGAACTCTGTAGAGGAAAACTTAGCTTGTTTCAAATTGAAAATGGAAAGGATGATAAAAATAGAATCCAGAGTTTTGAGCTGAAAAGGAAGGGGGAGGGAGAAAATGATTACAATTCCACCCAGCTAGCTACCAAGTAGAGCAGCTGCAATGCAGGAAGAGGAGCCAAAGAAAAGGCCAGAAATGAATAGGAAATTAAAATTCAAGAAAGGCCCATCTAGACACAGATGTACAGTTTGGGTAACAAACGAGGGGAACTAGAAGTGAGCATAAAGAGACATATTTGCCCTTCTAGGCCATGGAGGATCACTGGCCCAATGACAAGAATAGGGTTCTAAAAGAGTGTACTTTTTTTTTTTAAAAACAAGATATGCCTTATTAAAAGGACATTATCTTATTCAAAACATAAAGTAAATGGTTTGGATTAGCATCTTATGTTAATAATATACACATTCATGAAGAATTCCAGGAATCTGAGGGGGAGAGCATGGCAAAAAGCTTTTGGATAAAGGTCAATGGATGAAGGAACAATTAATCTTGTCTTCAGCCAATACTATAGACCACCTGGGCAGAAAGAAGAAATAGAGGAGTAGTTTGGAAAACATCACAAGTCTGGCAAGGAGGCATGGCATAGTAATGATGGGAAACTTTATTATTCAGACATCTGCTGGGCTGTTCCCTCTGTCCAAAGAATAGTAATTAATTTCTTTCTTTGCATTAGTGATCATTTCATTTTTTAAAAGGCAAGAGAACCAGTGAGGAGAATTTCTGTTTTGGATGATTTTCACCAACAAAACAAGTAGTTAATAGTCAATAAACATTTATTAAATGCCTATTGTATGCCAGGTATTGTGCAAAGTGCCGCAGATACAAATACTAAAAAAAAAAAAAAAATGCCTTCCCTCAAGGAGCTTACAATCCAACACATAAAAGAAAGCTGAAAGTGTGGGTGGGAGGGGAGGTACCTGGCACAGGGGCATGGTGGAGGAGTCAAAGGAGTCCAAAATAAGTGCAGCTGGAGAAGACAAGGAACTGACTGTTAGGGCAGAGATGATGAGGACCTTTGGAGGAAACACCCACTCCATGTTAGAGTTTGTGACAGAGAAGAGAGGAGAGTCAGGAATGGTCTGACATGCACCCTAGATTTGGGGAGAGCAGGTTCCACAGGGTTTAGAGAAAAGTAGGATCCCACCATTCTATAGGGGAAGTCAGCCCTAGAGTAATAGGAAGCCATGAAGAATGAAATTCTAAAGAACTAAAAGAAAATATTTCAATGAGGAGGAGAAAAAGTTGTTTGAATAGATTGATGGAATCATAGGGAGCTCACCAAATAATTTAGATTTTTAAAAGACATGGAAGATGGAAGGAAGGGCAAGGGAATAGGATGAATGTAAGGGTTTTGCATTGGTCCTATAAGAATTGTCAGGAGTGTTAACATTCAGAATCAACTGATAGCAATGAAAGCAGAAAACAGAAAGTCAAGATTTTTTTAAGCTTTCTTGGGAAGAAGAGAATGAAAAATGGGATAGGACTGTTGCTTGAGGATGGATGGAATGGTGATAAGTGAGAGCAGAAAGAAGGTGGTGCTTTACTTCTGTTTTCTCTGCCAAGGAGAATGACCTTTGCACAGGTAAGGAGAAAGGGGGGAAATAGCTAATAAGGCATTGACAGCAAAGGTAATTTGTTGCTGTTGAGTCATTTCAGTTGTTTCTGACTCTTTGTGAGTCCATTTGGGGTTTTCTTGGCAAAGATACTGGAGTGGTTTGCCATTTCCTTGTGTTCATTTTATAGGGGAGGAAACTGAGGCAAACAGGGTTAAGTGACTTGCCTAAGGTCACAGAACTAGTAAGTGTCTGAGGCTGGATTTGAACTCAGGAAGATGGCTCTATTTGACTCCAGGCCTGGCACTTGATACACTACACCACCTAACAGTCAGCAAAGGCAATTAGGAAGATAGTTTAGGATCAGTGGTGTGTTGATATGTTCAAGTCATCAGGCCCAGTTGACCTGAATCATAGGGTAGTCAAAGAAAAGGCAGATGTGATTGTTGAAGCACTTGGCAGGGATCTTGAAAAATCAAAGAAGATAAGAGAGGTACTTTAAGACCAGGGAAGGGCAAATATCCCCATATTTTTTTTAAAAAAAGGGAAAAGATTTGAATTCTGAAAACTATAGTCCAATGAGCTTGATTTTGATTTTCCTGACAAAGTTCCAGGATTCATTATTGAAGGGATGGCTGTTGAAAATCTAGAAAATACAGTGATTACAGAAGGCCAAATTCATCAAGAGCAAGTCATGCCAGACAAACCTAATTAACAGGGATTTTTGGACAGTTATCAGTCCACTCGGAAGGTGGTTTCCAGTGGAATGCCCCAGGGATCTATGTTGTTCCTGTGCTGCTTCACGCTTTTTAGCAATGACTTAGAAACAGCCATTAGATGGCATCCTCATTGAATCTTCAGATGACATCAAACTGTGCGGCACGGCCAACACGCTGGGTGAGAGAGGCAGGAGGGCAGAGGAAGACAAGCAGAGGCTTTTGATCATGCTATATGAAGATCAGATGATGGAACTGTAGTATTTAGCCTGGAGAAGAGATGACTTGGAAAAACATGGAACTTGTCTTCCAGCATATGAAGGACTGTTAGCTTCAAAAAAAAAAATTGAATTGACTTGTTCTGCTTGGCCCCAACAGGTAGAACCAAGAACAAGGGATAGGAGCTGCAAAGAAGAGTGGAATCAGGGCTCTAGGCCTGTCTTATTTGTTGTTCTTCTAGAAAGCATAGTGTCATTGCAAAGCCCTGTGGATGTACTAGTCATTATAAGTATGAAGAAGCAATGACAAAATGTGTTCCTATGGGAAAGAATGCTTTCTCAAGGTTGGGACAACAGAAAGTACCTGCTTAACTTATAGTATGTGTTCTGAGAATATTCCAATAATCGTGCCTTATTCAGTCTGCTAACTCTTTACCTCCTTCTCCTGGAATTGTACTGCTACCCTCCCTCTTATTTTAACTGTACCACTCCCACTTTATTCTTTGTCTCCTTATCCCAGTTGTAAGACCATAAATCAGGCAACCATATTGCTTGTGATCGGAGAACATGACTGTGACACCTTGGTTTGTGTCCAAGCTCCAGTTCTCCCTTTGTGGACACAAATAATAAGAATACTTTAGCTAAGCCATGGAAAATTCAGAGGACTGGGTTAATTCTTCCATAAGAGAAAATTTAGGCTTGATATAAAGAAAAACTTCCTAACAGTTCTAGTTGTCCAAAAGTTGAATGGGGTGATTCGACAGGTACCATTCTCCCTCTCTAGAAATCTTCAGAATACCATTTATTGGCTGTTTTATAGAATTAACTGGTTGGCCGCTTTGGTGTCTTTGAGATTCTATGATTGTACGTGTATCCATAAACTTTTTTGTTATTTACTGGTGGTTAATTCCCAAATGAAAGGCAGCATGACAGAACTGGCCTTGGGGCCAGGAAGACCTGGGTTCAGGTCCCTCTTGTGATGTACCCTAGCCTGTGACCCTGCCCAGGTCATTTAATCTCTTAGTGCCCCAGGCAACTCTCCAAGACCTTCAGTTGCAAAAACAGGCTTTGATGTGTTTTGGTAGAAGGAGTTACTTTACTGGCCATGGAATCACAGGTCTGCTCAATTAAAAAAAAAATCCCTCTTCTTTATCCTCCCTCCCCTCCCCAAGATCAGAATCTGTGGATATTGACTTCAACCCAATAGTAATTAAATCTTTTCATTCATTTCCATGACCTGTTTTCAGCTTCTTTCGTACAGAAGAGATGTGGGTATGGGTTGGATTAAGTGGCCATCACATTGAGATTCTGAGAGGACATGAAGGGGCCCAAGTGGAGTAGTATAAGCCTCCCTTACACACAAGTCAAATTGATACTCAGCCTTTTCCCTTCAAAAAGGTCTAAACCCCATCCCTAGTGTTTCTCAACCCACATCAGCTTCAGTTTCCTGGGCTATTCACTGCTAAATTCATCAAACCAAAGGAGAAAAGGAATTCTTCCAGAAAAAGCCTCCCTGTCCAGTGTAGCCCTACAAGAGGTGAATCTCTACCTAGGTCAAGGAGGCAAGGAAGCTATTAGGTCAAGTAGAAAGGAACATGCTACCAGTCTGTTCTCATTTACATAAACTCATTTACATTCCTATGACTAGGAATCATGGAAAACCATGTTCTCTGAAGGATGGAAGTTATGGATGATGACCTAGAGAAGATGGAGAAATGGACAATGGGTATACATAGACTGCAGTATGTTACCAAAGATGATTTGTGCACAAGAAGTGATGTAAAAGACATAATCAGGGCCCATGTGGACAGAAAGAAGGACAGGCTGGTCATATGACCAGAAGGAGGGATAGCAGATAGCTTGTCCAAGTACTATGTTGTGAGTATAGGGTCCTGAAGTCAGCAAGAGCTGAGTCAAATGTGGCACCAGACGTTTGCTAGCTATGTCACCCTGGGCATGTCACTTAATTGCTCCCTGCCTCAGTTTCCTCATCTGTGAAATGGCAGTTACAACAGCACTGATCTCACTTGGTTGCTGTGAGGATCAAATGTCTAAAGGGTTTACAAATCTTAAGGTACTATATAAATATGATTGTTGTTGTCATATTGAAAGATCCAGGGAAAGATCTTCAGCATGTCAAAAAGATTAAATTCGATTTGAGTCAACTGGCATTCAATGCCAGCTATGTGCTAAGTGTTGGAGACAGGAAAAAGCAAAAAACAGTCATTAGAATTTCCCATCTTCTAAGTATGAGGGGAAGTCATATTTCCCATCAAACTGCATATTACAATACCAACATGGAACCACAGGAGAAGCCATGATAGGATATTTGATCTTTCCATCTCATTTGAATACTCAATTCCTTGGGAGCAGAAAAGACCGTAATAGAAAAAAATACAGGGGGTGTGAGCACATACCTTATCCTCACTCTCACCCCATCTAATACAATGTAATCTCACTGAGTGCTATGGAAAGACCAATATAACGGCTTCAGAGAAGTACCAGAAGATTTTAATAAACTAATGCAGAGTGAAATAAACTAAACAACAGATACAATGACTGAAAGATTGTAATGTAAAGAATACAAAAGGAAGTAGAACTGTGATTCGTTGTAATAACTAATCTTGGTCCCTGAAAATAGATAATGAAATATATCTTCTCAACAATGAGATGGGGAAGTCTAGGGGGAGAACACTGCATACATTGTCAGACAGGGGTACTATATTGGTTATTTTTACTTAAGTGTTATAAGGGGGTGGTGGTTTCATTTCTCGCTTGTATATAGGTGAGAATATTTATCCACAGAAATAAATAATAATGATGATGATAAAAAATAATGCCTACCATTTATATCCTGCTTTAAGGCCTTGTGAACCTTTTTTATAAATGTTATCAGTTTTTATCCTCACAACAACCCAGGAATGTAGGTGCTATTATCCACATTTTATAGATGAGGAAACTGAGGCAGGCAATGATTAAATAACTTGCCCAGGTTCACATAGTAAGCGTTTGAGGTAGGATTTGAACTCAGATTTTTCTGACTCCGTGTGTAGAGTCAATTCACTATGCCACCTATGTGAAATTATTGTGTTGTAAGAATAAAAATCATCAATAAATTGATTAAAAAAAAAAAGAAAGATAAGCTTCTTGAGAGCAGACACTCCTTGTTGTTTGGTCTTTGTGTTCCCACCACCAAGCAAGGCATAGCCTAAAGTAGGCACCTGGCAAATGTTTGTTAGATTGGAACCCAAGATTGCCTAGTGCCTTGCAGAACAGGTACCCTCTTACCACCTCCGTGCAGTTTTCAGAGCAGCCTGCTCAGCCCAATTCATGGAGGACCTGCTACTACTGGGACTTACCATTGATAATCCTGGCCACCCGCCAAAGTCGGAGAAGGATCAATAAGCCGAGGGCTTCAAAGGCATGCTCTTGGAACACGAGGACAATGTCCAGGACAAAAGAGATAACCACAATAACAGCATCCAGGATCTCAAACTTGTGGTAGAAGAATTCCTTGCGGAAGACATATAATTTTAATGCAACTTCTGACATGAAGAGGGTCAGGATGGCGATGCTCAGATAGTGGAACACCTAGAAGAACAGGCAGGGAGCCAATAGTTAAATTACACCTACTCTGGGCATTATCACCATCATCATCTTCATCATCATCATCATCATCATCGTCATTGATCTCCCTCCTCATCTCCAACCACTGGCTTCCTTCAAATCCAAACTAGAATCCCATCTTCTAAAGAAAGCCTTTCTTAGTTCCTCTTAGTTCTAGCACCTTCTTTCTCTTAATTATATCCTAGTGGTTGAGCATTGAGTTTGTTTTTGCGTATTTGTTTGCTCATAGGCTCCCTGAGGGCAGGCGCTATCTTTTGCCTTTTTTTTAATCCCTAGAGTTTAGCATAGTTTCTGGCACACAGTAGCAACTTACCAAATCTTCATTGACTGACTAACTACCTTACAAGGTTATGAAAATCAAATGAGATGACACATGTGAAGTGCTTTGTCAACCTTACAGTGTCAAATAAGTGCTATTTTTAATTAACTAATATTCAAAACAACTGACCAGATTGCCTTTGAGTTGCCATGACTAAAAAATTCGTCATCCTGTGGTCAACTTGGTGATAAGCCTCTCTGAAATTAGCTAGACTGAGACACTTATTGTTGGAGGAATGGTCAACCAAGTTTCCCTACATAAATTCAATGGGATATTACTGTGCCTAAAGAAATCATGAATCTGAAGAATTCAGAGAAGCAGAATCAGGAAAACGACATACACAATGACTACACCAATGGAGTTAGTCAACAAGCATTTACTAAACACCTACTATGTGCCAGCTGCTGTGCTGAGCATGGGAGATGCAAAGAAAGGCCAAAAAATAGAAATAGAAAAATTTAAATTGAGCACTCTTTAATTATAATGACCAAGATTAGTCCCTGGAGAAGAGTGGAGAAACCTGACCTTCCTCTCTTCTTTGCAGAGGCAGGAGATTATGAATGTAGTACATATATATTATATTTGATGGGCTGCATATATTATTATATATGACTGATGTGTTGGTTGGTTTTGTTGAACTGGGTTTTTTTTTCCTATTTTTCTTTTAAATTTTTTTTTCTTTAAAGTAATGTTGAGGGGCAGCTAAGTGGGGCAGTGAATAGAGCACCAGCCTGGAGTCAGGAGGACCTGAGTTCAAATCCAACCTCAGACACTTGATACTTGCTAGCTGTGTGACTCTGGGCAAGTCACTTAACCTCAACTGCTTAGCCAAAAAAAAGGGATATTGGCTGAGGAGGAAAGTGAGGAATTATATATTTGGAAATAAAGGTAATGTAAAAAAAGATATCAAAAAAATTTTTAAAAGAAATTAGCTAGGCTGGCCTCAGAAAACAGGTATACAGTTGCTTTCAAAAGCCCTGGGTCAGCTTCCCACCACTTTGAAGCATCAGAAAAGGGACAAGAGGGGAGATTCTTCTCTTGCTCTAAAACAGGGTCTAGCCCTTAATTAGTGATGGATTTTCTGTTAATGCTCCTTAACCACAAGGACTCCACTCAATAACCTACATGACCACTGGGAAACTTCTATGTCTGCATCCTTCTGCTGATAAAATGAACTCTTACGCTTTGTGCATCTGTGCATCTCCAGAGAGACTCTCACTTTCAGGTATAAGGAATACCCAATGTTATTTTAGGACTTCCTCTAAGCACGAGTCCCACCTTCTTTTGACATTCATCACCTCCCTTAAGACTTGGGGTAAAAGGTGCTTCCTCCAGGAAACCCCCTCCACCATCTCCATCTTTCTTGACCCTCTTTCATTCGGCACCTTCTTAGCTACCTAGATGATCAAGTTAGAAGTTCTCAGTTTCACCCTGCATGGTTCATCATTTTTGCGTTCTTGCTTATGTTGGTTGGGTTGCCCACAGTAAATTAATTTTTCCTTTCTATTCAAGACAATGTGGAACTGTATTATTATTGTTATTATTCTTAGTTATAATAGTAATAATGGTAGCATTAATAGTAGTAGTACTAAGAGTAGTAGTGATGGTAGTAGTAATGGTAGTGCTATTAACAGTAATAGTAATAGTAGTGGTGTTGGTTGTGTTGATACTAGCAGCAGTAGCAATAGTAGTAGTAGCAACAGTAATAGTGGCAGTGGTAGTAATAGTAGCAGTAGTGATAGCACTAGTAAAACAATAGTTGTAATTGTAGTAGTAACAGTAGCAATAGTAACAACAGCAATAGTAGCAATAGTAACAGAAGTAGCAATAGTAACTAACGGTAGTAGTGGTGGTGGTAGTGGTGAAACCCAGAGAACCTGGGGTTAAATTCAGTCTCTGATGCTTGTTAGTTGTGTGACCTTGAGCAAATCATTTACCCCACCCTGGACATCCATCTCATCATCTGTAAAATGAGTGGGTGAGGGGAGAGGGTTGGACTAGATGAGTTGTACTTCTGCACATGTTGTTTCCTCCATTAGACTAGGAGCTTCTTGAGGGCAGGGACCATGTTTGCCTCTCTTTGTATCCCCAGTGTTTAGCACCACCCCAGGCACACAGCAGGCACTTAATAGAAATACTTGATGTATTTCATGAGGTCTCTTCTGGCTCTAGTCCTATGATCTGTTTTACCTTGCTGCTTTTTTTTAAGCTGCTTGAGGTCAGGGGCTGTTTCATTCCTGTCTTTCTATCCCTAGTACTCTGCACACAGAAGAAAAGGGTGATTTCACTGATTTCACTGCTACAGGGGAAACTCCCTCTACTAATGTAGGCTGGCACCTTTTCTGCAACTCATAGACTTAGGGAATATCCCAAAGCACTGAGAGGTTAAGGGACTGGGCCAGGGTCACACGGCCAGTACATGTTGGAAGGGGTTCTCGAACCTAGTCTCCTAGGTTTGAGGCTGGTTCTGTATATACCACATTCATCAGATACATAGTAGATGTTTTAAAATTGTTTGTTGAATTGAGAAAGAGCAGGCTGACATGCCAAGCCATGATGATGGCAACCCTCACAACTCTAATGGGAATCATGAGATAAGAAACTAGAACTTTAGAAACAAGAATCCTGTTGAACACTGGCCACTTATATTGATAATAACTAGCATTTATACAGTACTTTAAGGCTTGCAGAACACTTTACAATATCTCGTTTTATCCTGTGATTTCACTCTAGGATGTAGATGCTGTTGTTTCCCTCATTTTACAGATGAGGAAACTGAGGCAGGCAGTTCCTAGTACTAGATATATTTTCTCTATATCCTCCCCTCAGCCAACTTCCTGTTTGTGGTGGGGAAATCAGAATGCTCCTCATTCCTCTAATCCTCCCCTGAACACCTTCACTGGGCAACTTCCTGTTTTGAGATTCATACTAGCCAAATCTGTCACTCAATAGAAAATCCTGGTGGCTGCTAGCTACAGACATCCCCTCCCCACCCCCCAGTCCAAGGCATTCTCTTTCCTCAATAAGTGCCTAGCTCAAACTTTTTCTCTTTCCCGTCTCTTACCCTCCCACAAGGGGACTTAAACATACAAACTGATAATCCATCCAACACCTATCTCTTCCTCATTCCTGAATTTATTCAGTTTCCATGACTTTCTCCTCCACTCTACTTCAGCTGCTCCCAGAGATGCTCACCCCCTTGATCCTGCCATCATGTCCAAATATTCCACCTCCATGTTCCTGAACTCTGAAATTCCTTAATCTGATCATAATCTCTTATCATTCCATCTTTCCCTCTGCCTTACCCTGTTTTTTAACCTCATTGTGACCTCTATTATCTCCATCCCTCAGCTATTTCCCAGGCCATCACCCCTGAATTGACTGGCTACCGTATCTCAGTCCCTTGGAGAATCAGCTCAACTCTACACTATCTTCCTCCATAATTTCTTTTGCCCCTCCGTCCAAGGTTGATTATCATGCCTTACCAAGCTTGGACCCTGGAAGACTCCCACCACTCACCCCCTTCAATCCTACTCATGTACTACTGAACCAAGTGGAAAGAAATCACAAAACATCACTGATTGGACCCACTACAAACTGATGTTATCTCATCTCAACTGGGCCTTCATTGAAGCAAAACAAATTTTTCATTAATCTCCAATCGATTCACTATCCCCCCCTTCACTGAGGCTCTTCCAAACATTCTTATCTCTCCTCAATCCTCCCTGTATACTCTACCCCTCTGCTCTTAGCCCAGGACCTTGCCTCATTTTTCACCAAAAAACCTGATGAAATTGTTAATGGAGAGCTCCATCTTCTCCCCTCCTCCTTATCTCAGATTTCTCAGTTTTTTCCTCTTTTATCCCCTCCTCCTCCCTGGTCTCAGATCAAGGAGTGGCCCTTCTTCTTGCCAGGGTCAACGCTTCTACAACTGATTTCAATAGCATTCCCTCCTATCTCCTCCACCAGACTTGAAACGTTACCATCCCTGTTCTCTCTCTTAGCATCAGTCTCTCTCTGTCTGCTATCTGCTTCCCTACTGCTTACAAATACGCCCATGTCTCTCCCCCACCCTCAAAAAACCTTCATTCTCACCTCCTTTTCTCAGCTGAATTTCTTGAGAAAGTCATCTCTAATCTGTGCCTCCACTCCCTCTCCTCTTTCTAAACCTTCTGTACTCTGGCTTCTGACCTCACCATTCGACTGAAACAGCTCTCCCCAAAATCACCACTGCTCTCCTAACTGCCAAACTGAATGGCCTCTTCTCAATCCTGCTGTGCCCTGACCCCTCAGACAGGGTTTGCCATTCGGGGTCACCTCCTCCTCAACGCTCTTTTCTCTGGGTTTTCCTCTCCTGGCTCCTCTTGTCTGGCTCACAGCTCCTTCTCAGTCTCCCTGGCTGGCTCCTCACTCATGCCACACTTGTGCCTGGCCCCCGAGACTGTGTCCTAAGCTCCTTCTCCTTTCACTCGAGATTATTTCTCTTGGTGATCTCATCAGCTCCCAATTCTATGCACGAGATTCCCAGATCTATATACCCAGCCCTAGTCTCTCTCCTGAGCTACAGAATCATGCATCCCAAGCTCCCTCTTGGACATTTCAAACTGGTTGCCCCATAGACATCTCAAACTTACCATGCCTAAATCAAAACTCATTATCTTTGCCCTCCCAAACCCTTCCCTCTTCCTCATCAAGGGAACCACCTGCTTCCAGTCATTTAGCACAAAACCTCAATGTAATCCTAGACTCCTAACTCACATCACTGCGTATATCCAATCTATCCATTGTCAAATCTTGTCATTTCTAGCTTTGCAACATCCCTCAAAGACACCCCCTTGTGGCCTCTGACACTGCCTCCACCTTGGGGGTGGCCCTCAACATCTCCCTCCTGGACTATTGCAGTAGCTGCTGGGGGTCTGCTGCCTCGGGTCTCTCCCCACTCCAGTCCATCCTCCTCAGCTGTGAAGATCATTTTTCTATAGTGCAGGTGTGACTATGGCACTGCCCTGCTCTAGAAGCTCCTGGGTGCCCTCTTACCTCCAGGATCAATCGAAAATCCTGTGTCTGGCTTGTAAAGCCTCCATAAGCTGCCCCCTTCTTACCTTTCCAGTCTTCTTATACCTTCCTCCCCTCCATACACTCCTGGATCCAGCTACACTGGTCCCCTGGCTATTCCTCACACCCCACATTCCTCATCTCCAAGTCTTTGCATTGGCCATCCCTCAGGCCTGGATTGCTTGGTTCACTCCCCTCTCCCTTCTGGCTTCCCAGGCTTCCTTCCCACCTTCCCTCCCCTACTACCAGTGACTTCCCTCCTGAGACTCCCTTCCTCCTGTTCTATAGACATCTCAAATGTACATATTTGTTTGGAAGTCTTTCCCATTAGAATGGGAACTCTTAGACTCTTTTCTTTGTTTTGTTTTGGCTTTTTATGCCCAGCACTGGGCATAGCACCTATCACTTGGTAAGTGCTTAATACATGATTATTGACTGACTGACTGACCATTTTTGTCTCAATAAACTCAAATTAACATCCACACCCAAGGAAGCTTGAAGGGAAAGAGAAGGCATATGTAAAAGCAGAGAAGACTAGTTCTAACCATCTACCATGGTGATGGAGTCTGTGTGGGGGAGGGCATATGATTTCTAGTTGAGAGAGTTCACTGGAGCAGGAGATGAGAAGCCTGGACTCCAGTGAGACGATCTCTGAAAATGTGGGCAGCTTTCCCCCTGCTCCTGAGTCATCCTTCACAACAGGGCCTTAGGATTTATTCAGGGTGCTGTGACTTCACAGAGTTATTTTGGACACGTCTTTTTGGGAGGGCATAGGATGGGGGTGGGGAATGGTGATTTCATCAGTGGAGGACAAGTCCTGAGTCAGAAACTCCCTCTACCCAAGCCACTCATCTCATAGGCCTCAATAGCGGCCTGGGGGCACAGAGAGCTTAGGATTATAGATTTAGAACTGAAAGGACCTCACATACCATCTAGTCCAAAGGCCTCATTTTACAGATGAGCAAAATGATGCTCAGAGACCTTAGGTGACTTGTCCACAGTCACACAGCTAATTAGCATCATAGGTAGGATTTGAACTCAGGTCTTCCTGATTCCAAGGCTGGCCCTTTATAAGAAAGCCTATTCAAGTACCAGAATGTGTTGGAAAGCCTTGGGGACATGCTCGTTGGGGTGAGCTACTATGGAATAACCTGGGCCAAGAAGTGAGATAAAAGACAGAACAATGAAAAGACAAATAAGCCATCTATGGTCTACCCTGGCAGCATAGTTCTCCTTGTCTGATTGGATGATTTTCAAGTCTATCATCAGCTCAGCAAGCACCAGTAAGGCATCCATAATGACCAGGCAAATGATGATAACCTGTGGGAAGAAGAAGAGGAAAATTGTTTTAAACTCTTCACAGTGAAAATGTCAAGTGATAAATACTTTCTTCCACATATGAGAGCTTGGAAGTTAAAAGATTTGTTGTTGTTCAGTTGTTTCTGACTCTGTGACCCCATTTGCGATTTTCATGACAAAGATACTGGAGTCATTCTCCATTTCCTTCTCCACTCATGTTATAGAATAAGAAACTGAGGCAATCAGAGTTAAGTGACTTGCCCAGGGTCACACAGCCAGGAAATGCCTCAGCCTGGATTTGAACTCAGGTCTTCCTGACTCCAGGCCTGGTGCTCTATCTATTGTGCCTCCTAGTGGTACACAAAAATGATATGAACAGACTATTCTAAAAAACAGGGAAAAACCACAGATTGTTGCAATAAAAAAAGTTTAAGTTCTTCCATAATGAGAAAATGTGAGTTAAAACAACTCAGAGGTACACTTACACCTATCACAGCTGCCAAACCAGTTAAATAAAGGATAAAGCTCAGTGTTGGCGGGACTGTGGGAAAACAGGCACACAATTACACTGATGGGAAATGTGAATTGGTACAAACTTTCTTCAGAAACACAAAGGTAATCCTTTAATGCACAATGAGAATTATCACACTGATCCTGCTTCATCACCCTGTGATCCCACTCCTGGAACTATATCCTAAAGGTGTCATTACAAGAGGCAAAAACAGACCTATCTTTTCTGTTATTTACAAGGAAATGGCCCAGAGGTTCAACCCTGGAGGGCACCTGGATTCTAAGCCCATCTTTGACAGTAAATATGGGCGAGTCACTAAACCTCCAGGAGTGTCTGTTTCCTGCTCTGTACAAAGGGCATTATTAAACCTGCAGAACCTATGTCATAGGGTTACTGTGGGGCTGAAAGCAGATAATGTATGCAAAGCTCTTTGTAAACCCTTCATTTATGTGTGTGTATATAAATAGTTATATATTAAAATATACTTCATATTTTCTCTATTACATAAGAAATAAATTAATACAAATGATAATATAGTATATTGATATTATATTCATTAAGATAATGAAATGTTGCTATGCTGCAGAAGATGGTAAACATGAAGAATACAAAAGAAAATAGAAAGACTAAGAGATACCATGGCATTCTGGATAAATAATCCATCTTGGAATTAAGAAGACCTATGCTCAAATTCTGCCTCATCTATGTATTGGCTGCCATGGAACGCTAGGTAAGTCACTTGACTCTCTCAGTGCCCCAGGTAACTCTCCGAGTACACCTTGCCTTAGTGGAGAGAACTTTATCACCGGGGAGTTGCCTGTACCAGTAAAATCACAGGAACCTCTGTTCCCCCCACCCAAAAAAAATATGGAAAGATAAATGATACAGAATGAAGAAAGCAGAATCAGAACACACTGATTACAGCTTTGTTTTAAAAAGTCAATTGACAGTTAATCAACAAACATGTAAGTGCGTACTGGAGATAAAAAGATGAAAAAGAATAATAGCAACTCAATGCAAAAGTGAAAAAAATTACACAGAAGGAAAAGAGACCAGGAGGGAACAGAGACATCAACAAACCTTTTTGTCATTATTTTGTCAATGTGAATAAGACTCCTTTTATAGGTGATTTTCAAACAATCTCAATTTTACAGTTTTGGTCACTTGGGCTTTGTTTTTGTTAATGTGCACTGAATTAACCATTTTTGATTAAAAAAAACAAAAAACAAAACCTAAGAAGGCAAAAAGAGGTTGGGGCAGGAGAGCTTCTGAACTGGCACACTCTCAGTCTCAGGATCTGTAGAGAAAGGAGCCACACCACTGCCCTGTCTGGGAGACAGATTGGGCCACCATCAGCCTCTATGACTGAAACCAAAGTCCTGCTTCTTCCAGTAAGGTTTCTGAGGTTCTTCTGGTTCATTCTGATCCCGTCCTGCTCTGATCTCATCCAGCCTGAGCCTGTAACCTCACTCCATGCCCTGCCACTTTCTCTAATTCCCTCCATGACCCCTTCTCTTCCTAACATCTTCAATCTCTCCCTTTCCACTGGCCTTTTCCTCTTTTGCCTGCTGACATCTGTCCCTTCCTCAGAAAGCCTTCCCTCAACCCTGCCTACCTATGGGGGAAGGGGGGGACAAAGAAGCATTTATATAGTTCCTATCTATGCCAGGCACTGTGCTAAGCACTTTACAAATATTATCTCATTGCTCCTCACAACAAAGCTGGCAGGTAGGTGCTGTTATTATTCCCATCCCACAGATGAGGAAACTGAGGCAGATGGAGGTAAAGTGACTTGCTCAGGGTCACACACCTAGGAAGTGTCTGAGGCTGGATTTGAACTCAGGTCTTCCTCACTCCAGGTCCAGTACTCTGTGCACTGTCAGCCAGCTGCCCATCTCTCAGGTACCAGCCCATCTCTTGGCACCCCTTCCCCACCAAAGCTCTACAGAGTCATTTGTCATTGCTGCCTCCAGTTCCTCCCCTCCCACCTACTCAACACCTTACAGGCACGACCTGCATTTTTACAATATATGGCAGGCAGAGGGGACGGTGAGTGTAGGACTTGGAGGGCCATCCCAATGGGGAAATACATTGAGTTTATGCCATTTGAGGCTGGATTGAGGGAACTGGGCAGGGGGGAGGTGTTTAAGCTGAAGAAGAGAAAATTCAGGGAAAACAGGGTAACTGTCTTATCTTTGAATCCCCAGCACTTGGCCTACAGTTGGCCTGTAATAAATTGTTTGCTGATTGATCCATTTCCTGATTCCAGTACATCAAGGGCTGTCCTGTGGAAGAGGAATTTGACATTTTTTTACCTGCTGGGCCCCAGAAAGCAGACACAGGAGCATTGGTCCCAAGTTGCAAGGACTTAAACTTCCTAACTTTGTGTGAAGGGTCCCCTCACGAGAGAGCTTCGGGCCAAGGCTGGAGGACCATGTGTTGGGTGGGTTAGAGTGAGTCAAAGTGGGACTTGGTGACAGCTGAGGTCTCTTCTAATTCTAAAATTCTGTGATAGGACTGGTGAGGACACCAAGGCAGCATGGGGGGAGGAAAAGTGTGTTGGACTTGGGATCAGAAGAGGCCTATGTTCAAATTCTGCCCTTCCTATGAGCTAGTGTTGTGACCTCTTGCCTCTCTGTGCCTCAGTTTCCTAATCTGTGAAATGGGCACAAGGATCACTACCTACCTCACAGGGTAGTTGTGAGGAAAGTACTTTGAAAATCTTAAAGCAACATAGAAATAAGTGGTAGGATCATTGATGGTGAATTTAGGGCTCAATCAAAGGCCTCCTCTTCCTTGTTGGCACTCCTCTACCTCCCTTGGAGCAACCTTCCCTTCCCCCCTTTTTAGCTCCTCATTATGTGTTGTCTTCCCCCATTAGAAGGAAAGCTTGGTGAGGGCAGTGACTATCTTGTTGGCTTGTATTTTTATCCCCAATGCTGAGCACAGTGCCTGGCACACAGTAAACACTTAATAAATACAGGCTTGCTCACTCACTCTCCTCTTCTTTCTCTCTCCACCTTTCCTCTCTGTCTCTGTCTCTCCTTCCCTCCTTCTCTCTCTCTCTCTCTCCTTTTTCTCTCCCCTCTCCCCACCTCCATCCTTAGAGGCCACTGAACTCAACCCCTTCAGTTTACAGATCAGTAAACTGATTCCAGGAGGATTTGGTGATTGGCCCAGGGTGACTCAGTTAATAAGCATCAGGGGTGGCATCTGAACCCAGGTTCTCTCTGCCTACAAGCCAAGGGCTTTTCCCACTGTACTGCAAACAGGACCATTCTCCCTTCTCCTTCTCTCCTATTTCCCCAGGCTGCCCAGCCCAGCACCAGCTGGATACTGTGACTGAATGAGAAAATGTATGTAAAGAGGACGCAAACCTCCAACCTTATTACACACTTGCTCCCTTAATTCTTTTCCCTCAGCCCTGCTCTCCAAGGCCCATTCTAGGCACAGGGTCTGGCCAGGGTTGGGAAATGAAGCCCTGGGGTCCAAGGCCTCTGGGGAAGGGTGAGTCCTCTTGGCCACATGCAGGTCCATTGGTGGGCTGAGCCCGTTACTTGGAGTGATGGAAATGAGTGGGACGGGATGCTCCTCCCAAGTTAATATTGTGATTCTCTGCTCCTCACAGCCGCAAGAGGGACGGGCTGATCCCAGACTGGAAACGGATTTTTGGCCAGCTTTATTTCTCTCTAAGCCCCAGGATAGGGAAAACGTGTTAAGAGCTGAACAATGACAGTGACAGAAGAGAAACAAGGCTGCTTCCCACCCCCAGGTACAGTGGAAATGACATCTGCACAATCTGGGGAATTGGGTTCATTTCTATTTCTAGCACCATGCATGCCTAGGAGCCTATGACAGGGTCACAAAAAAAACTGTTCAAGAATTAATCCTGACAGTCGCTTGATGGTTCCTTAGCCTCACAGAGCATTCGGTGTCCAACAGGGATGCTGAGAGCTGCAGGGACATGTTCCCTGTTTCACTTCTAGGCACAGGCAGGGATCAAACATAGAAAGGAAAAGGAAGGCTCAGAGAGGGCAAGAGATTGTCCAAGGTCACAGAGCAGGCTGAATGGGTCCAACTTGCCAACCCATATCTAAGATCCTTATTCACCATGGCCTCTTCAGTGTCTCTGCTTTCCTCACCTGCCAAATGAGGGGATTGACCCTGATGATTCCAGGGGCCTCCCAGCTCAGATATTTCGTGTCCTGACATTCATTCAGACTTTAACATTTTAGGTTCTAAAGTCTCTCCCAGCTCTGACATCCCCTGTTCTGAGGCCCCTCCCAACTCTGACATCCCCTGTTCTGAGGCCCCTCCCAGCTCTGACCTTCCCTGTTCTGAGGCCCCTCCCAGCTCTGACATTCTCTGTTCTGAGGACCCTCCCAGCTCTGACATCCCCTGTTCTAAGGACCTTCCCAGCTTGGATGATCTGTTTTAATATCCCTTCCAGTTCTGACATTCCAATTCTAAAGAGGAAAATGGAAAGTGGGCAGAACAGGCAGCACACTTATTTTCTCTTTTTTTAATAACAATTATTATGATTATGATGATAACAAAAATTCTTGGCTAAGATGACCTTTAAACTTTTTAAAAATTCACAGCTATAATCTGACTTCCCAGTTTCAATAGCCTTGCAAGATAAGGGTGGGCGGGTTTTTTTTTATCTCCACTGTAGAGATGCTGAGGCTCAGAGAAGAGCCTGACTGCCCAGTAGCCAAGACCTCCTGACTCTCACATCTAGACCTCTTCCCGCCCCATCCTGCTGATCCAGCTCTCAGTGAGACCTACCTGAAACCTGTGGGAACTGAAGACCTTCCTCATCATAGTCCTGAAGTCCAAGGGAACTTTTGGAGGGGTGACCACCTCTCCTGGAACATCAGTGGGGCCGCTTTCAGTCGCAGGAGCAGCGGATGCTGGAGCTGGTGCTGTAGGCATCTGTGGCTGCTCATCCTCCTCATCCTCATTGTCCCATCTCTTATATCTGGTATTCCATTTGTAGTGGTCATCGCCCACCACAGTGAAGTGCCTTAGGAATCTGGACATGGCCCTGGGGGAGCCGCCCTGGGAAGGTGTGGGGAGAGAGAAACTAAGTTTCAGTCCAGGTTACCCACACCAAGTTAGAGAGAGAAAGAGAGAGAGAGAGAGAGAGAGAGAGGGAGGAGTGGGGGAAGAGACAGAAACAGACAGACACACACACACACACACACAGAGAAGAGAGAGAGACAGAGAGAGAAGAGAAACAGAGACAGAGACAGAAAGAGAAAGAGACAGAGAGACAGAGACAGAGATTGACACACAGACAGACAGATACAGGGAGAGAAAGTGACAGAGAGAGAGAGGGAGGAGTGGGGGAAGAGACAGAGACAGACAGACAGACACACACACACAGACAGAGAAGAGAGAGACAGAGAGAGAAGAGAAACAAAGACAGAGACAGAGAGAAAGAGACAGAGACAGAGAGACAGAGACAGAGATAGACACACAGACAGACACAGGGAGAGAAAGTGACAGAGAGACAAAGAGAGAGAGAGAGATAGAAACACAGAGACAGAGACACAGAGAGGAAGTGACAGAGAGACAGAAACAGACAGAGACACAGAGAGAGAAAGACAGAGACTCAGAGACACGTGTGTAAGGGCTGGGCTGGGCCCTAAATGGGGACAGTCAAAGAGCAGAAAGAGAAGAGGTAGGAGAGGGACTGTGTGGGACCCAGAGCTCAAGGCTTTGAGGAGTTTCTCTTGGTCTCTTATTTTGGGACGGAGGCACTTTATAGAGACCTGGCAACAGGAAGCCCCAGCCTGCCCTTGTGGTTTGCCTGGGTGTAAGCAAAGGACTTCATTCTGCAGCCCAATTATAAAATGCACGGGGTAGGGTGGCGGGCGGGGGGGATAATGCTGCTAAGTGGCCCCCAAGCCCCATGTGCTGGCTGTCTACAGGAAAAGCTGTGGGTCACGGTTCACAGGTGACCACATTCTGAAGAAGCGAGCCTGTGCTTTGGGGGTGGAGGTGGAAATGAATGGAGGGTGGGGTGGAAGATGACAATAAAAACCACACAGAATTCTAAGGAAACAGGCACGTGTAGACTTCCTTTTAGAAGAGAGTCAGGTTCCTGAAAGGTAGAGAATAAACAGAGTTTTGACCAACTTGGCCACCTGGGGCCTCTTGTAAAAGAGCCAAGGATGGTGATTTTTAGAACAGCATCCCTGCAGTAAAGCCACGCATCCTTTTGGAGAGCAAACGATGTCCCCTCCTCCCCAGCCCGCTTGGTTTAGACTTGGTGTGAATCCAGATGTTTATCAATTGGGTTCTTGAGCTAGAACAGACTTGTCCTCTCTTGCCTCCTCAGAGTCTTTGGATCAAAGCTCTAGAATTGGAAGGGGCCTTCTTGGGGCCCTCTTGTTCAGGCTCTTCCAATCCAATCCAACAAACATTCATGACATTTGTTCGTGATCTTGGGCCAGAGCCTGGGCTAGGCTCTGGGAGTTAAAAGGAAAAAAAAAATAATTCCTGGCCTCAAGGAGCTTACACTCTCCTGGGGAGTGGGGCAGGGAGGGGACTTGGTATTTTATTCTGGAAGCAACAGAGATCCTTTGAAGATTCTTGAGTGACACGGTCAGATTTACGATTGAGGAAGATTTTTGACAGCTGTATGGAGGGTTAATTAGAGAGAAGAAAACTTGTTCAGTCGGTTGAGTCACGTCAAGACCCCATTTGGGGTTTTCTCGGCAGAAATCCTTGGCAGTCTTTCCCTTCTCTAGCTCATTTACAGATGAGGAAAGTGAGGCAAACAGGATGAAATGACTTGAACAGGGGCACACAATCACTAAGTGTCTGAGGCTGGATTTGAACTCAGGTCTTCCTGACTCTAGGCTTAATGCTCTATCGAGCCACCTAGCTTCCTGACCAGCTAAGAGGTTACCGCATTTGCCAAGGTGAGATGTGATGGGGTAGTAGTCATGTAAGGTGGGAAAAGAGGATGGACATGAAGGATGTATAAGAATCAACAAGGCTAAACAACTGTTTGGACACTGGGAATGAGCAGCTTGCTGAGACCATTCCTAAGAGGAGTGGAAGACGGGGTCAAATTTTGCCTTGTGTGTGAGGTCCTCAGGACTCACACATGTTTGCATACTAATTTTTTTATTAATGCATTACCATTAAAATCATATAGGAACTACATTTTCAGACTGTTTGAGGAGTGTCGTGGGCTGCTTATGGCCTGGCCCACAGGCCGTGCGTTTTATGCCCCTGTTCTGAAGTGTGCTGTCTATGTAAGGGAAGTAATTGGTTTAACATTCCCTCAAGAGTTTTGTCTTCCAGTATGTTATTTATTGGGCTGGTTTGCATTTATGAGAAGCAGACGTAAGCAAATACTGAGTAAACCACTAAGCCCAAGATTTCAACTGACACCATTGGTTGAGGAGTGAACAAGGTGAAGGGTGGGGACCAGGGTGAAGCCAGGAAACATGCCACAGGTAGCAGATTTCTTCAGTCAAGTCCCTTTTCTTTCCCTTCTTCTTCCTACCCCTACCCATAACTTCATTTAGAACATCCATTTTTTGCATTTACTTGGACATCCCTGGGGGTACAAGAGGAAGAGCCCTGCCACGAGGTAGAGCATTTAGAACAAGGGAAGTAGGCCTTCTTCTGCCCACTGGCCTTGGTCAGATCACATCCAGAGGCTGGTGTCCCATTTTGGCTGCCCTGTGTTATTAGGAAGGCCATTAATAAGCTGGACCATCTCTGGTGGAGGGAGACGAAGGTGGAGGGGCCCAGAGATGATGGTAGCTTTGAGAATGGAAGTCAAGGATGGGAAAAAGAGGAGCTGGGAACTGTCTCGTGGCGTTTGAAGACCTGTCATGTGGAAGACAGTTTGGCTTTTTTGTTTTGTTTTGTTCTGTTTTTTTGTATCATAGTCGATTTTATTGACTAGTAAGTGTGCATTATCACATGAAGGTTTTTTTTCCCCCAAGCTATTCATGGCACTGACTAGATGCAGTTTTTATTCTTAGCTGAAATGAAAGCATCTGTCCATATCTACTAATATTGAAATACTATGACTGGGCAGCCCTGCCAGCAGTAACTCAGCACAGCCTTGGGGCTTCCCAGCCTCAAAAGTCAACTTGCAAAGAACCCCTCGATTGCAGAAGTCATTGGTGCTTCTACTGTGGCCCACAGAAGGAGGAAGACAGTTTTTGACTTATTCTGCTCCAGCTCAGAGGTCTGTACCATGAACAATCCATGGATGTTTCAGAGAGACAGATTGAAGCTGAATCGGAGGAGAAAATTCTCCAGGTATTGAAGCTGCCCCAAAGAGTCTGGCCTCAGACACCAACTAACTGTGTGACCCTGGACAAGTCACTTCACCCTGTTTGCCTCAGTTTTCTCATCTGTATAATGACCTGGAGGAGGAAATGGCAAACCATTCCTGTATCTCTGCCAAGAAAACCCCAAATGGGGTCACGAAGAGTCAGACATGACTAAAAACAACTTAACAACACCAAGAAAAAGTGTCACAGGCCACCTCAGGAGGAGACTTTCACTGAAGACCTTTGAGCAGAGGTTGGGTGTAGAAAGAATTCTTCTTTGACTCCAAAACGAAGGTTTCTCTCAGCTAAGCTCTATGTCCCATGTCATTTCCCCCTTCACTCGGCCTCAGTTTTCTCATTTGGAAAGGCTTCCTGTTGGCTTCCTCCCTTTTAAACTGAAATTTTTTTTTAAAAAATCTATTTTTCTTCACACAGGGTGATATATTAGGATCAGAGTTCATAAAATGCTTGTTTTTGCAAAGAGCAGTATTTTTTTAAATATCGAGAGGCATTTTGAAAGGTTTTCTTTTTACAATGATGTCTAAGGAATGCTCTCATTGACATTTAAAAAAAAAACCCATGCAGCGAAGCAGAAAAGATCCACAGAACAGCCAGCAAGAAGACACTGGACGGTTCTAAGAATTGTCCAAATAAGTTTGTTTTTAGAAATGTAGGCAGTTTGGCCAGGCATGGTAGCACGCAGCTCTCATCCCTGATCCTGACAAGGCTGAGGCTGATGGCTGTCCTGTGCTCAGGAGTTCTGAGCTGCAGTGGGCCAGAGCCAGCTGGGTGTCTGCACTAAGTCTCGCACCAATGGAGTGAGCCTCCAGACTGAGCAGAGGGCTATTGGACTGCAGAAGAAAAGCTGAACCTGCCCAGGTTGGAAGAACAGAGCAAGCCTGGGCTTGTACCAATCACTGTTAGAAGCGGGGCCATGAGTCTGGGTGAGATGGGGAGACCCAGTCTCAAAAAAGAAATGCTGGCAATTCTCTATTATACAGGGGCTGATCATCCAAACGGTGGCTTGAATATGCTCATGGATTCTCCTCCTCCTCTTTCCATTCCTGATCTTTGGGCCATTCCCCTACACTAGACAGAAAAGATATCACAGGACCATAGATTTGATCAGGGCCCTTGTTGTGTATCTAGACCAATCCTTTTGTTTTACACATGGGGAAATTGAGACTGAGAGATAGGAAATGATATGTCTGAGGTCACGTGTTATAAGAGGAAGAGCCAGAATTTAAATAGTCTTAGACTCCAAATCTTTTCATTCCAGCAGGAAGCCTCAATGGGCACGCAGCCTTTCTGAGACCCAGGAATGAGAATGGAGAGAATGGCTAAAAGGAGACTCGGCGTGCCTTCACATTTGAGGTGAGTGGGTATGGTTTTTATTCCATTTTTCAGAAACTTCCCATTTGGGCTCAAGGCCGGTGAAGTAACAACCTCAGTGGAAATCACCAGTCTGAGTACATCTGGATACAACCTTCTCCGTGGCCTGGATTGTCACCAAGTCTGGCCACCAAAGTTCCTGCCCCTTCCTCACTTCAGAGAACCATGCAGATGGGAGATTTTTCTCTTGGGCTTCTGTCTTTCAAGCAAATGCTTCCTTCTTGAGTCATGGTTGGGATAGAAGCTGTCCTTGGAGATCAGGGGCAGGGAGAACAGGACTGAGCTCTCTGGTGCACAGGAACACAGGTGCCTGGGACCCTTACCAACCCTTGTTGCTCAGATTATGTGGAATGCTTTTTCTCTTTTTCTAAATCACGGAAGTCTTTAAATAAGCGTAGCAAACTTTCCTTTTCTAGGGTAGAGAGGAAGTGTGAGGTCCATGAAGGCCAACCACAAATTCAGCAGCCAACCCATGTGACCAGGGGGCACCTGGTACAAAGAGTCTGGGAGGGGGAATCCCCCTGGGCCTGGAGCCCCTGCAGGCTGTCATTCCAGGCCTATCCTGAGGCCATCCTCTGCAAGTTGCTTCCATTTTTTTGTACCTCATTTTCCCTATCTATTAAATCTGCTTCACTGCTTCAATTCAATTAAACCCAACAAGGATTTATTAACCACCTACTATGGATCATGTGCAGGTAGGCAGTGCAGTGAATAGAGTGCTGGCCCTGGAGTCAGAAGGAGCTGAGTTCAAATCCAACCTTCCAAGGTGTGTGACCCTGGACAAGTCACTTAATCTTGTTTGCCTCAGTTTCCTCATGTGTAAAATGAGCTGGGAAAAGAAGTTGCAGTATCTTTGCCAAGAAAACCCCAAATGGGGTCATGAGGAGTCAGACACAACTGAACAAGTCATGGGCCCCTTTGGCAGTCTGGAGGAGCATATTTACTGCTCCAAATCATATGCTATTGCTTATATTCACAGTTGGAGGAAATGCTAAATTTTAGGCAGAGGTTGGTGAGAATGAAGATTTTTTTTTTTCCCATCCCAGTTCATAGATCTCATGAAATCCATCCATTCTCCCTCTGGGGGTCTGTAGACCTCAGCTTTACAGCTATAATACAAAAATTTTAGGTGTGTCACTAATAGGTTTGGGGGATGAGAGGATTGGTGGGAATCTTCCCTTGCATTTGATAGATGAAGAAACTGAGGCCCAGGGAATGCAAGTCACTTGCCCTGGGTCACACAGGTACTAAGTGGCAGAGCCTGGATTTGAACCCAGGTCCCTGACTCCAAGTTCAGTGTTCTTGCTATTAAACCACACCGCCTGCCAATAAGCCATGTTATCCTTATTTTACAGATGGGGAAACTGAGGCCTGGAGAAAGGAAGAGACTTTCCTGGAACAGATTTCTTCCTCCACCCCAAACACACACAGACTAGGGCAGATCAAGTTTATAGAATCATAGAATTAGGCAGCAGGAAAAAACAACAACTTTCCTTCATAATTCACTTTGAAACCATCTGTTAAGAGATATTTTGTGCCTATGGGCCTTAACATGTCTGTCCCTCCTCCCGACTCACTATCACCTGGCATGTTCTTCCTTGGCCTCCTCACCTTCCTCCTGCTTCAGATACTACTACTATCTCTCCCCCAGCCCCCTTTCCACTGCTGGACTTTTCACTGTAAGGCGACTTACACAGAGTTTTACAGATAGAATACGTCTGAGCAGAGATCCAGGTTCCCCTGATTCCCATCCAGCCAAATGAACTGAATTTTCTTCTTGCTTCTCTTACAGACTTACAAAAAAAAGGTGTGTGTGTGGGGGGGGGGGTGCAAATAAAGCAGAGAGGCTGGCTCTGATGCTTACTAACTGGGTGAGTTTCTTGATCCTCTTTCAGTCTGTTTCCTCATCTGCAGAATGAGGCTAATACTGCTCTGAATCCCCTGTCTTTCATGGAGAAGAGAAGGGAGTAAGCATTTATATAGTTCCTGACATGTACCAGGCACTGCTAAGTGTTTTATACTTCATCATCTCATTTGAGCCTCATAACAAACCTGGGAGATAGGTACTATTATTGTTATCCCTATTTTACAATTGGGGAAACTGAGGAAAACAGAGGTTAAGTGACTTTCCCAGGGTCACACAGCCGGTAAGTGTCTGAGTCTGGATTTGAACTCAGGTCTTCCTGATTCCAGGCCCAGTGTACCACCAGCTGCTGTGGGTGTGCAGAGAAGCTCATTTTGGAAACCTTAAAGTGCTAGGGAGAATGTTCATCCTTCTTCTCCTCTTCCTTGTTATTGCCTGGATCTGTCTCTTCATCCATGTGAGGAACACTAGATGCAGAAACTCCTTTTCTCCAAGTTGTCTAGACTGCTCATCTGTAACTTATGGTCTTAGAGAGGGGCCTCGGGGCACTGAAGCGAATGACTTGTCCAGGGTCATACAGCCAGGTTGTGTCAGTGGTAGGACTTGAACCCAGGTCTCCCTGGCTATCTTCCCCTCCCCCCCATTCCTCTGCCTCTATGATCTCTTCCCATCTGAGTTCCAGTGATGAAAAATCCACTTACCTCTTTTTCTTCTGTATCCATTTTTCAGCTGTTCTTGAATCTGGAAAAAAAGAAGAATGTGGTTGGGTTCTCTTGTGTAACACAGTCATCTTAAATGAAAAACAACAACTTTGTTTTTAAGTGTTGTTTACAGCATTTCTCCTCTAGGATTCCAGTTCTTGGCTAGAAGGGATCTTGGAGGCCCTCTAATCCAACTGCCTCATTTCACAGATGAGAAAACTGAGTCCTAGGGAAGTTAAAGGATGTGCTCACGGCCTCAGAGGCAGGATTTGAACCTGAAGCCTTTGACTCGAGAGCTAGCTCTCTTTTAACATGATTTATCATTGCTCAGTCATTTTTCAGTCATGTCTGACTCTTCATGACCCCCCTTGGGTCATACAGCTAGTAAGTTTTTGAGGCTGGATTTGGACTCAGGAAGATGAGCTCTATCCACTCTATCCACCTACCTGCCCAATCTAGAGTTACTACAACTTCAAAGTTGGGGTGGCTTCCTGAAGCCCAGGTACCTGCCTGGCTTCCCCAGGGCACCCCAAATAGACCTTCAAATACTCCTCATCTTTGCCCTAAGCACACCCCTCCTCCATACTTCCTTGTTTCTGCTGAGGACCCTGGTATCCTTCCTCTCAGCCATCCAGGACTCCTCCCTCATGCTCCCCCCTCCCATCCAGTTGGTTGCCAAATCTTGTCTATTCTCCCTCCCCTCCAGGTGCGTTCTTTGCCTTCTCTCTACTCACACTTTTCACCACCCAGTTGAAGCTGGAGTCACCTCTTGCCGGGACCAATGTCATACCTTCCTAATAGCCCTTTCTGCTTCTAGTCTCCCCCTTCACCAATTCAGCCTGTGCACAATTATCAAAATAATCTTCCTAGGGCATAGGTCACTCCTCTCTGCTCAAAAAACAAACTCCAAACCTGCAGTGGCTCCCTACTACCTCTGGGAAAAAGGGACGATGACTAGCATTTATAAAGTTCATTAATCATTACAAAGCAATCTACAAATATTATCTCATTGACAACTTTTCAAGGTAGGTGATATGATTACCCCCATTTTCCAGGCGAGGAAACTGAGGCTAGAGGTTAAGTGACTTGTCTAGAATCATACAACAACTAAGGGGCAGTATTTGAACTCAGGTTTTTCTGACTCAAGGCTAGTATTTTAGCAACTAGGCTACTACCTCTAACCCTGGCATTCAAGGTTCTCCAAAGTCTGGCTCTGAATTACCTTTCCAGACTTCATTCACTTTCCTTCTCTTCATGCACTCTACATTGCAAACTCGACTAGTATCTGTTCCCTAAACTCAGTACTCAATCTCCTGCCTCAGGACATCTGCACTGGGCACTCCCATGCCTAGAACACACATCTTCTTCATCTCACAGTGTCAGAATCCTTGCTTCAACACTCAGTTCATGTCTTCTCCTCCATGAAGCCTTCTTTGATTCTTCCCCATTGATTAGTGAGTGTTCTCTGCCCTCCTACTTCCTATTATACTTATTTATCTTGGAAACTAGGTGGCAAAGTGGATAGAGTGCTGGGCTTGGAGTTGGGAACATTTGAGTTCAACTCCAACCTCAGACACTTACTAGCTGTGTGACACTGGGCAAGTCACTCAACTGCTGTCTGCCTCAGTTTCCTCGTCTGCAAAATGGAAGTAATAATAGTAACACCTGCATACCAGGGTTGTTGTGAGGCTCATATTCACAAAATGTTTCAGGAACCTTTTATAATTGCTAACTATTATTATTATTTGAGTCATGGACCCTTTTGGCAGCCTGGTGCCCTTCTCACAATTTTTTTAAATCCAAAAAAAAATCAATAAAAGTACAAAGGAACCTAATTATATTGAAATACAGTTATCAAAATATCTTAAACAAATAAACGAGCCCAGGTTAAGAACCCCTGGGCTAGATGGTTTCTAAAGTCCTTTCTGGCTCTTAACATTTCAGTTCAAATCCTGCCTCAGTCGTTTCCTGGCTGTGTGACCCTGGGCAAGTCACTTCCCTCTACCTCAGTTTCTTCTTTTATGAAATGAAGAAGTCAGACTCAATGGTCTCTAAAGTCCCTTCCAGCTTTAAATCTAAGGTCTTATGATTCTATTTCCTGGTAATAATAATAAAAACTGCCATTTGAAATTATTTTGCAAACATCATCTCATCTGAGCCTCTGAGAAGTAGGTACTACAGGTATCATCGCCATTTTACAGGTGAGAAAACTGCAGTTCCATATACAGTAGGTGTCTGATGTGGGATTAGGACGCAGGCCTTCCTGACTCCAAGTCCAGAACTCTATCTCCTATGTCATGCTCCCTTGACCTAGGCATCTAACATGCGCTGCTCCCCTCCCCACCGCCCCACGGCTTATCTGACGTGGTGAATCCAAAGTTAGTTTTGCTAATTAGTTATTTGAGATGACCAGTGGGCCAGTAGGGTCTAGCCCCTTGACCCTGGTATCGCTAGTGTTGGCTGCCAGCAGACTTGGCTCAGCGCTCTAAGACCTTAGCTGCAGAGAAGTTACCAACCTGTATTGGTAAAGGGAGTTTCCTCATTGGGGAGTTCCTTTGATCAGTGAAAGAGCAGCTGGGTGGCACAGTGGATAGAGCGCTGGGCCTGGAGTCAGGAAAACCCGAGTTCAAATCTGCTTTCAGACACTTACTAGCTCGATGGTTCTGGGCAAGTAACTTAACCTTGTTTGGCTCAATTTCCTCATCTGTAAAATGAGCTGGAGAAGGAAATGGCAAAACCACTTCAGTATCTTTGCAAAGAAAACCCCCAAATGAGGTCATGAATAATCGGACATGACTGAAAACAAACTATATCAATGAAATCACAAGTCCAGTCCCCATCCTTTTTGAAAAGTATATTTGCTAATAGAATGCAAGCCCCTGGAGGGCAGGAACTGTTTTGCGTTTTTCTTTGTATCGCCTGTATCTAGGGGGCTATCTCCAGTTGTCCTGATCTATATCCTGCCACTGAACCCAGATGTTCCTTAGGTGCAGGTATAATCTCGTCAGCTGCCCTACTTAATACTACTGCCTTCCCTTCCTTGATTAGTTCCAACTTCTCTTGCATAGATAGGTCCAGTGGGAAGCGTCTTGGATGACTTGGAGGCTGGGAATATGAGTGACTAAAAGAAAGATATGTTGTCAATACATAAATCACTGCCGGGGGCCCCAAAATGTCTTAGCTCTCTTTTACTGCTAAACTAGAAAGAGCAGTCTGCTAAAGTGATCGCCTCCATATCATGACCAGTGGTATAATGGAGAGTCTGTTGGGCCTGGGAGTCAGGGAGATCTGAGTTCAAATCCAGCCTCAGACATTTACTAGCTGTATGACCCTGGGCAAGTCACTTTAACCTCTGTCTGTCTCAGTAACTGTAAAATGTACTGTAATAATAGCACCTACCTTACAGGGTTGTGATAAGGATTAAATAAATGAACATATATAAAGCACTTTATAAACCTTAAAGTGTTATATAAATGCTATTATTGTTGTTGTTGTTATTATTTCTTTACTGTACTGTAATCACTCTCAACAACCCTCTTAGTTGCTTAATCCAATGATCTTTTTCTCATTCCTTGATAAGAAGCTAGGTGGTACAGTGGGCAGAGTGCCCAGGGCTAAAGTTAGGAAGACCTGAGTTTGAATCCAGCCTCAGACTTACTAGCTGTATGACCCTGGGCAAGTCACTTCACCTTATTTGCCTCAGTTTCCTCATCTGTAAAATGAGCTGGAGAAAGAAATGACAATCCACTCCAATATCTTTTCCAAGAAAACCTAAATGGGATCACCAAGAGTCTAACATGATTGAATAACTCTTCCTTAACCTCTTATCCCCGTTGACCATCCTCTCCTTCCTTGGCTTGGATGACACTGGTGTCTCCTGGTTCTCCTACCTGTGTATCTCTTTCTTTTCCATCTTCTTTGTGGGTTTGTCATTCTCTTCCCATCTCCTTAGTGTGAGGACTGTCCGGGGCCCTCTTTTGTCTCTGTTCATCCCCAGCTCTCATAGGTTCAATGACCATCTCTCTGTAGAGGAGTCCCAGATCTCTATGTTCAGTCCCAATCTTTCTCCTGAGTTCTAGTCTGGCATCATCAACTGCCTATTGTTGAATTTGTATCCCTAGTGCCTAGCACAGTGTTTGGGTCATAGGAAGCATTTAAATGCCTTTGCACTCACTCATTCATTCATTTGTTCATTTATCCATCCCTTCCTGGATGTCCCATTGGCGTCTCAAATGTTCAAAATGAAACTTCAATCTTACCTCCAGACTTTTGTGTTTCTATGAAGAGTACCAGTCATCATCCTTTCAGCCACCCAGGTTCCTAACCTGTGGTCACCTTTAATACCTTCCTTGCCCTCATAACTAGTTTCTGAGACCTCCACAACATCTCTTTCAGTCATCTTTAATTAAATTCAACCAAACATTTAAGTGCCTACTGTGTGTCAGGGACTCTGCTAGGTGCTAGGAATACAAAGACAAAAATGAAAGAGTCTCTGCCCTCAAGGAGGTTACAATTTATATCCACAGCATCTCTCAAATCCATCCCTTTCTCTCTACTCACACAGCTACCAAACCATTTCAATCCATTCTGACTTAGTAGACTATTAAAATAGCCAATAAATGGGGCAGGTAGGTGGCGCAGTGGATAGAGCACCAGCCCTGAAGTCAGGAGGACCTGAGTTCAAATCCGGCCTCAGACCAAACACTTGACACTTACTAGCTGTGTGACCCTGGGCAAGTCACTTAACCCCAATTGCCTAAAAAGAAAATAGCCAATAATTGGTCTCGGTAGCACTAAACTGGCAGGAACATAGGAATGGTACTTAGTAGGTGCTTAACAAATATTCATTGATTGACTGGTCTCCTTGTCTCCAGTCTCTCCTTTTTCTGCTCTTGTGGTTGTATGAAAGGTATGTTGTCAGTACATGAACACTGAGTTCACTGTCAGAGACCCCAAAATATCTTAGCTGTCTTTTACTTAGCTCTCCTTTTTCTGTTGTTGTTGTTTAGTAATGTCTGACTCTAGGTGATCCCATTTAGGGTTTTCTTGGCAAAGATACTGGAGCAGTTTGCCATTTCCTTCTCCAGCTCATTTTACAGATAAGGACACTGAGGCAAACAGGGTTCAGTGACTTGCCCAAGGTCACACAGCTAGTAAGTGTCTGAGGCTGGATTTGAATTCAAGTCTTCCTGACTCCAGGCCTGGTGTCTCTATATCCTCTGCACCACCTAGCTGCCCACTCCCTTTCTCCCTTTTCTAATCAATCTATTTTTAGGTTTGAGTTAAGGAAACTTAACAGGTAAATTTGTTGTTCCAAAGTGGAATGGGAAGTGTCAGGAAGTAGTGAGTTACTCTTTCCTGGAGGTGCTATATTTATATCTAGATATCTATATCTATACCTACATATATATCGATATAGATAGAGATATCTCTATAGACAGAGAGATATATTTATGTATACACACACACATATATAAAATACATAATAGATATTGTAGAAGGGATTCTTCTTAGGGTATAATGGTTGGAATGCACTCCCTCTTCACCTCTGCCTTTTAGAATCTCTGGCTTCCTTTAAGACTTTGCTCACAGCACCCCTCCTCCTCCACCCTGTCCCAGATGCTAATCCTTTTCACCTCCCTGGACACCTCCCAGCTCCCTTGTCTCTATATAAGTTGACTTGACCATTACAATGTCAGTTCCTCAAGGGCAGGGATTGTTTTTAATTTTTCTTTGTATTTCCAGCACTTACCCTTCCAGTACTGGGGATGTAATAAATGCTTGATAACTAACTGGCTGATTGATTGCTATCTGGACTGTCCAGTAAGTGCTTAATAAACATTTTTTGACTGATTGATATCCTGACTATATAGTAAGTGCTTAATAAATGCTTTTTGATTAATTGATATCCTGACTATACAGTAAGTGCTTAATAAATGTTTTTGATTGATATCTTGACTATACAGTAAGTGCTTAATAAATGTTTTTTGATTGCTATCCTGGCTACACAGTAAGTGCTTAATAAATGTTTTTTGATTAATTGATATCTTGACTATACAGTAAGTGGTTAATTAATGCTTTTTGATTGAGTAGATGCCAAGGGTGGTTCCTTTCAGTTCTAGATCCATGAGTTTGGAATCACACGGGGATTATCTGAGGGGAATTTACTCAGGGCATCCGAATGTCACATGCTTCCCGTCTGTTGCCAAATGACTATGGAGTTGTGCAAACCTTCTTTCAAAGAAAGTTTTCAAAACCTCATGTTGCCTCATGCTTTGGTAACGTCCCATCACCAGCTTGCCTTCTCTTGCTTGCAGAGTCCTGTCTCCATTCCCCCAGCTTTTTCCCCAAGAGAATTCAAGTGAAACCCCGCCTTTACACAAGACAGGAGCTGGCCGAGAGGCCTCCCGGAAGTTCTGCTGATAGCACATAATCAGAGCAAGCACCACAACCCACTAGGGACCAAGGGACTGGCACACTCCACCACCTTTCCCATGGAAACTGCAACCAAGAGCCTGCAAACACAACATGACAGCCGAAGGGATGGCCAACCACCCTTGGGGAGCCTTGACACTGCCAGGCAATTAGCCTTTGGTTCCTGTTACCCCAAGAGTGCAGAGCATCTTCAGTTGGGCAACTGGAGACAAAGAAGTCTTGCTGTTGTCCAGCTGTGTCTGACTCTGCATGACCCCATTTGGGGTTTTCTTGGCAGAGATCCTGGAGTGGTTTGCCATTTCCTTCTCCAGTTCATTTGCCAGACGAGGAGACTGAGGCAAAAGCAGTTAAGTGACTTGCCCAGGGTCACATAGCTAGTCAGTGTCTGAGGCAGGAAGGTGAGTCTTCTTGACTCCAGGCCAAGGAGCACTCCGTCCACTGTGCTACCTCAACCTCCCCCATAAGACCTAAATATTTAACCTATGCGCTCCTGACTATAATCTTTTCAACAGTGGGGATATTTAGCAGATTATAGGATTTAGGCTTTGGTTTTCTCATGTGTAAAGTGAGGGATTCAGACTAGTGATCACTGAAAAGGCCCCTTCCAGCTCAATCAATCAATCAACCAACCAGGCATTGTGCCAGGGGTGCTAGGGATACCAAGTCAGAAATGAGAGAGTCCCTACCCTTGAGAAGCTTACATCTGGGGGGGAGACAAAATGTGTGATTGTATGTATATATACACACGTGCATATATACATGCAGCATATTAAATATCTGTACATATCTGTACATATATACACATGTATATATGTGTGTGTAGGTATGTATACAACATAAACTACATGAATGTGAAAAATGCATGCAAATAAATACAAAATGATTGGAAGGAGTTAGAAAGGCTTCATGTAAAGGATGGTACTCTCAGCTAATTCTTGAAGAAACAAGAGTCCAAGAGGTAGAGTTGAGGCAGTGAATTCCAGATACGGGGGTGGAGGTGGGAGATGGAGGGCTATAAATAAGGTACAATAGGAAAGTCAATATGACGAGAAGACAACCTGTGAAGGTCAGCAATGTGTCATAAAGCTGGAAAGCTCTAAACCACTGGTCCTGTGATTCTAGTTCTTCTTTCTGGGTCTCAGTCTAGTCATCTGTGAAATGAGGGGG